ATCACATTATTTCAGCAGGTTAAGCGCGGTGTGGTTATGTTGCCTTTACGTCATCAAGGCCGCCATGTCGGTGAGCCAGTACGTCATGAAACTGCGAGAATAACGTCACGTGAAGGCTACCTATAATATATGTGCGTATGTTTAACTTCATTTGGTAACGTATCACTCAATGAAAAATTGCCCCCACCCCCAGTCACCGTCCCTCCACATGCTTCGCATGATATTGATTCCCATGGCACGCGGAATATATCTGCAGAATTTTTTTTATTACAGACTGGAACACGCTGCCTTAACAGGTATACGCACCACAGAACATCTATACGCCATAGCAACGTAATATGGGGCGCCTTTTTTTCGTTCGTTGTCACAGATTCTGGAATTGCTTTTCATTCATTTCGAACTTTGACCTATTTACAGCCGTACTGTACCTGGTGTAATGTCCCACGTATTCGCTGAACTGGAAAGCCCCGCCGCGGTGGTCTAGCGGCTAAGGTACTCGTCTGCTGACCTGCAGGTCGCGGGATCGAATCCCGGCGTCGGCGGCTGCATTTTCGATGGAGGCGAAAGTGTTGTATAGCCCTGTATGCTCAAATTTGGGTGCTCGTTAAAAAAAACACAGGTGGGCGAAATTTCCGGAGCCTTTTACTACGGCGTCTCTCATAACCATATAGTGGTTTTGGGATGTTAAACCCCACATATCATCATCGCCTAACTGGAAAGATGCGCGTGGTACTGTGCGAAGCAGTGCGCCTATTCGCTTCTGAATGACAAAAAATTATCTTAAGGATCATGGTAAAGAAACAAGAAAAACTAAATGCTGTCTAAATTATTCACAATATCTGTCCTTTCAACGCCTATTCTATAAATGCAGTGTAACATGTACGTGAGAATATATATATATATATATATATATATATATATATATATATATATATATATATATATATATATATATATATATATATATATATGTATATATATGAGATATAACAGACAGTAATGCCAAGGAATGTACAGGGGAAGTTATTAGAACCAATTGAATGTAAATAAGAAGAAAGAAGAAAGAAAAGTGGATGAAAAAATTACCAGCTGTGTGGTTAGAGCATCGAACGCGTTATTCGAAGGTCGTAGGTTCGTTTCCTGCTCACAGCTGGTAATTTTTTCATCCACTTTTTTTCTTTCTTCTTATTTACATTCCATTGGTTCTAATAACTTCCCCTGTACATTCCTTGGCATTACTGTCTGTTATATCTCATTAATATTGTGTTAAAACACGGAAATACGAGCCCTTAAGTATACCCTTCTCTCCCTTATATATATATATATATATATATATATATATATATATATATATATATATATATATATATATATATATATATATATATATATATATATATATATATATATATATATACGCTTGTTGATAATACAACGCACCCGTGACACTCATGTGTGACAACAAAAGTTTTTTTCTAATGGCTTCGCAATCTCGCCTAACGCTGCCTTTTGGTACACAGTTCTGTAAATATATTACTCAGTCTACCAGTTCACCATGAATGAAATTTCGCGACAGTCAAATTAGTGAATATACCGTGCGCCAGACCAACGAACGTGCCTTCTCTTTCATTATACATGGCGTCCCAATCATCAAGCAGCGCGATTAAAAAAAATAGAAACGGCGTTATGCGAAGCAAGGCTAGTGCACATTGTTCCCAGTGTACCGTAGTAACCACTACTAATTTTTTTCGTTAATAGCCAACAATCAATGAGTCATAATAATTGTAACTCAAAGAGTACGCGCCTATTTATCAAAATGTCACTCAGGCAGATGTGCGAATGTTGAAACATCTGTCTGAGCTACTTCCAGCGACGTACTAATCGCTTGCTCATTTTTTTCCCCTGCTGATAAAGAAAGCCCACAAAATAAGAAAAAATAACACGTGACTGGACCGCTGCGGATGGATGAATGGATTGATGTGGGTGTACCTTTAGATCGGGCGGTGGCTAGCGCCACCAAGCCGCAATACTTACCCCCGTATTCACAAACGCTCCTTCACTCAAGGGTTCTCCTCGACTTGAAAAAGTCGATGGGAGCGCCGTCTCTTGGCAGATAAAATCACTACATATTGGCGAAATTTTGCAGCAATTCTTGAGACGCGCAGCGTCAATTTCAGTCGAGCAGTGGCGCAGTGCTCAACTCATTCAAGTGAAGGATGGAATGCGAGTCGAGGAGCATTTTTGAATACGGGGGTTAGTGTACCAAAAACTAGATTTATCATTTCTTTTTCTTTAAATAGTGAGGAAAGAAGCGCCCTCGATCAAGCTCACTTTGAGATAGCCAATAGCACTGAAGGAAATGTAGAAATAATAAAATACGGATCGTGCTATCCAAATCCTCCTTGGCGCTATCTGCCACTCCCCGGCCGAAGAAACGCACCGACTTGATCTTACACAGTCAAGCTGTAATGGCTCTTATAGCAAAAGTGATCTGGCCGCGAACAGTTGACCGTGAGATATGAATCGTGATAGCGACGTACTACCAAGCGGAAGCAATCCCTGCATAACTGCGACAGACGTTGTAGACACGCGACCTGTACCCTTGGTTGATATGTGGGGTTTAACGTCCCAAAACCACTATACGATTATGAGAGATGCCGTAGTGGAGGGCTCCGGAAATTTAGACCACCTGGGGTTCTTTAACGTGCACCCAAATGACCTGTACCCTTGCTAACGGAAAAAGGCAAAGTGGTTGCTTCCAGTAAGGTTATTTGAGGGCGCTGCTGCTTTCTTCTGCGGATGCGAGCGCAACGCGTTATTTTTCATATATCGCAGGTTTTCTTTATCCAAAAAAAAACAAACAAACAAATGCGTTATTGGAAGAAGCACAGACAGGTAGTCATGTCATGCCATACCAGTTTTGCAACATGTCACGTGAACGAAACCACCGCAAGAGCAGCAAGACTATGAAATGTAATAACGACATTCATGACATTCAACGTGAGAATCATGACATGTATACATGTCATGATTTGCATGTTACGACTAGTCAATTATGCTCGTAATACAGTCATGTTATGCCATATTAATTTTGCTATCGATACCATTATCGAAACGGTTAGGAGAGCTAAATGTTGTAGGCGGCTAGATAGATGGATAGATACGCTCAAAGTCACAAACAAAACTGGCGTATCTTTGCGGTAGAGTGCTGGGCTGCCACGCAGCGGTCCCGGGTTTGAAGCCCTGTGTGTGTTTGGTGCTTTTTATATACTTAGTTTTTTTCTTATTTCTAGCGACAGTGGTTATACGGACACCAGCGACAAAAAAATACGGCGCACGCGACACAAATTTGGATCTCATAATATCTTTAGCTGTACTATAAATATCAGACAAAGTATACGTCCATCTTGAACGAATATTAGCGCGACGTAAACAGGGACAGCAAAGAAAAGACAAACTACAGCGCCGACTCGCAACTAAAGTTTGTTCCTAAAAGTATATGTCAAATGTCTGCAGGTACAGCGAATGCCTATAAGGGGCAAATGAAAATGTCACCCCCAACAGGATCTTTACCCGCTTCTACAGCACGCGCCACTTTCTCAAAAAAACTTACACGCAAGTTCGATCACGCATGAGCGCACACAGCGAGTTTTGCGCACCAATTCCAGTCTTCGCAATCGAACCCTTTCGCACGCTCGCGCGTAAACAGCAGCGATTCACAAACATAAACTGCAACCCCGGCCGTCTAACACGAACGCGGCACTGCGTTAGCTGACGCGACACCGCACTTTTACGCATACGCATTGAAATGCAAATTAAAACAGTTTTCGAGATAACTCAGATCAATCGAGGAACTGCCCTGTATGCGTTCCCAAAAGGCAGGAAAGTTAATCGACGCGATACGACGAGTAACGACCGAACCGAACGTGCGACCACTCTTCTTTTTTTCCCTTCCTCGAGGCGCGGAACGTCGTAACAACACGCCGGCAATGTCCCACGAAAACAAAACTGCCCCAAGAAGCCACGCGTAACCCGAAAAAAACGTAAACTGCGAGACGGGACACCGCGGAATGCGACAGAGCGTTGGAGCACCTAATGATATTCAAGCGCGGGCACCTGTCAATCGCGTCGGGGGCGCTGAAAAGGGTCGCGCTCCAGCGCGCGCGTACGAACTACGCACGGTTTTTTGAAAAATACACTTTTCCACGAAAGCGTGCAAACGCTCCGTCCAGCACGTGGTCAATTTCGGCCAACACGCGTTGCGTAGGGAAACGTTTTGCGCTCACCTTAGAATCAGCGAACTCCGTTTTGTAGAGAAGAATCGTGGCTACAACTCCTGGCAGACGACGCGGCTGCGGGTAGCGTTGGTTAGGCCTAGCGAATGCGGAATGACGTTTCGCTCTCGTTGTTTTGTTTCTACTCTCCCTCGCTTTCCTCGGCCCGGAAACTTTAGCGAAGTATTTCTTTTGCCGTTCGGATGCGGGCGAGAGAAGGCGAGGCGTGAGCGGCGGAGAGACGGAGCAACAACTCGGCCTCGCCAAACCACCTCGGAAATGCGAAACAAAAACAGAAACGGCCGGCACCGCGTTCCGCCCACCCGGCAGCCTCCTTGCAAAGAGCCGCCGGCCGGCTACTGTGCGCAGTTGTCGCACGTGGTGCACGTGTTAATGACAAGATACATCACAGCGTCGACAATGCCACTTCGCTGCATCACAATCAAAGTTTTGAGAGTAATACGCAGCATCTTATCGATTCTGCAAGCTTGGTTTCGCAAAACGAGTTCCCGCCTTCAAAAAGCGTCGTCTGCTACAAGCAAGCGTCTCAAGGTTGCCGGATTTAACAACTACTCCGATGCCGTTTTTACGTAAACATGAATCTATAACATCCAAAACACATCTAAGACAGCGTCTTATTACTGTTTGCTACATGTAAGGCGCAGCTAAAGCATGCCAAAACGTTGCATTAAGATCTAGAAAACAGCGCCACTTGAACCAACGAACATCAACAACAACTATTATTTTCCGGGCGTGTTGGCGCTTGCAGGAGTTGGACGTCACAATTTGCGCGCCTTCTTCAGTTGAGGCGGCTGTTCTTCCCGCCCACCTTCCTCCGTGTTCCCGCCTAAATTCGCTGCTGATGCTGGTCGTTCTTGGAGTCTTTCACCTTTCGCTTTCGGATCGGCCCGCTTTTGTAACCTGTGCGTTGTATTTTTAAAACAGCCTCCGCAATGCTTGTCATAGGATCCTGCGATCTTCCGGTCAGCCACGAGCCGAGGGGTCAAATTCAGGTAACGCTTAATACTGCAAGCATGCATCCTCGATTCGCGCCGGAAACGGGTTGAAAATACGCCTCCCATTTTCCCTCCCCAGCTCATCATTGGCCCCATGTTCTCGGGCAAAACGTAAGTACCACCGCGGAGTTTCCCATTATGTGCAGCTGTTTCGCATTCAAAAACATTTCCGCTGTTCAGTTATGCAACGCTCGCGAGTTATCACCAGTTTAGTGTACCTTTTTCCCGCCAATCGAAGCTTACGTGGCGTTGTTTAATTCTTTGTTTCGCTTCTTAGGACCGAACTCATGCGGAGATTGAAGCGCTACGAGGTTGCAAACCACAAGTGCTTGATAGTCAAGTATGCGGGAGATACCCGGTACGATGAGGAGAATATAAGCACCCACGATAGGTAAGAATGACGACATGCACATAAGCGCGCTTTCGCGCAATATGGACGTATTTATACGACCACAGGCTGGTGTTTGCGTGCTAATGCGCAATGTTGTGTGTGTTTGCTTTCTGACCTATACTGTGTCTTAGACACGGTTGTACGGTCACTTTTGATTGTGATTGAGCGCCTGATCCGAGCCGGATTGCTTGATCGTCATTGGCTACTTTGCGCAAGTGGCAGAAGGGAGCCAATGAGCTTTGAGAAGTTTGGTGCCGATAGGACTCAACTACCATCCGCGCAGTGTACCGTGTGACTCCTTACACCAGTCACTTGAATGCGAGCATCAGTGCGTCCGATCCAAAATTCGAAAACTGGCGAATGTGACGGCACAAAGGAAAAAAAAAATAAGAATTCTGTCGTGCACGCATACATATTATTCACGTTTTGTAACGCCACGGTTGGATGCCCAGATATACCACAATGAAACCTACAGCTATGGTAGACTTGGCGCAAACGCCAAGATTACTTGTTATTTGCCCTAAGTCTACCGTAAGAATGAACCAACTCGCCCAACAAGTCACGAGACTTGCATATTAGGCTGCTTGCAGGTGATCTAAAACATGAGCACCCAGAAAACAGTCGCTGGGTTTTGCACTCCGCACCAGCCAGCCTTTTTCAAGTTTCAATGCAATCGTGACATTACAAATGTACACAAGTAAACATTTCTGCATTTGTGTATTGCATTCAGTGTTATCCAACCTTTGTAAAGAGTGCATACCGTTTACTACACGTGAACTTTTCAGGCAAGCCATGGCTGCTGTGAAAGCAACCTCGCTGTCAAACCTGAAATCCGCGTCGTCCGACTTCAGGGTCATTGGTATTGACGAAGGACAGTTTGTAAGAATGTTGATTATTTTTTCGTTCTTGGAATGAATGTAGCGCCACTTGGGGAGAGCTCATGAGCAACATGAACCTCATCCTTGGGGAAAATTCCAAAAGAAAACTAGTCATTTATTGACAGCAGACAGCCTGTGGCAGCCTTACAATTCATTTTGGCAAATATCAGAGACGAAATCTAAATGAAGATAGTCGTTTCCAATGACTATTTTGTTCTTTTAGGGGCATAAGACATCAAGTAACTTCTAGCATTGATTCAACTCTCTCATCAGAATGTGCCATGTTAAGTCATGATTATTGATGCTCTGTAAATGATTATCTCTGTTGCCTATTAAAATAATCAAGAGGCAAGTAAAAAGATGTCTAAAATTAAGTTTACATGAGTGTTAAAAAAACAGGCAGACAAGATGGCACTCATTGTAACACTATACAGGTAAATAGGGCCTTCAAAGTCAGTTGAACTATCTTGAAGGTTTTGTGTCTTATGTGCAGGCAAGACTAATTAATCACTGCTACTAAAGCAGCCACAACGAACCTCCGCGCTCTTTTGCTCTGCTGATCTGTGTGAAGCGTTTCCCTGCTTCCATCGCTGGGTGCTTTGCTCGCAGTTTCCCGACATAGTGGAGTTTGCCGAATACATGGCAGACACTGGGAAGGTGGTAGTCATTGCGGCCCTGGACGGGACGTATCAGCGTCAGGTAAATGTACACATCTTGTGTTACATAAAAAGCTGCAGTTCTAGCTCGCCATTGTTGCTTTTGAGTGGTGCTTTTATGTACTATTAGCGAGGTGCTTCTTTGTGTGTGTGCGTGTGTGCTACTTGATGCTTTGAGGACCAGTTTGTCATGGTACTGCGTAAACTCTTTCTCTTTACCTCCGGTAGATGAGCTCAGCATTTCAGCACATTTAGCACGGTTAGCTACTGCGAACTAGCTGAGGTCATCCATGAGAGAAATGTTTAATTAATCTTGCAAAAATAATCCAAGCAGTACCATGTGTCTCTCTAGTTCCCCTCCAGTGGTTCCTGCAATGCTATGTCATTGACAACTGCAATACCACACAAGCAGCAAGTCTTGTAGTGAAGCCAACCTTCGATACATAATGCACTTTCCTCTATATTTTCTTAGAAAAAAAATGTAAGTAAACTTGTTTGTTTACTTAATGCATAGGTTCAAAAAAAGCACTGAAGAAAAACACTGCAATATAAAAATATCCTTTTTTTCTTTTCAAGAATCTTTGTGAAGACTAAAATGAGCTTAGTTAACTTTTGCTTTGAGGAAGTGTTGGCAGCTTGTGGTGCCATCACACACTAGAAATTTTCCACAATTTCATTGCATGGATATATGAATTGTGCCAAAGAATAAATGTCCGGCCAACCTCACCTTACTCTTTAAACGCACTTATTAATAAAAAAAAATCTTGCGCAGACTTTCTGCTATTCTTATTCAATAATCATCGGCCACTTCGTGGGCTGTCTCATGCCATCCGGTATGCGACGATTCCCGATGTATTATTTACCAGCTGTCCCCATCAGCTTCTTTGATCATTCTTTTTGCTAGAATTCCTTCATCGGAAATGTGACGTAATATGTTGCTTTGCTCAACTGTGATGGTGTCATAAATTTTGGGGGTTTTCTTACTGGTCAACAAAGTGAAAAAAGTGCACGGGACAGTGAAAGAGACAGATTTCGTCCGTCTCTTTCGCTGTCTAGTGTTTTGCGCTGTTGTTTTGCTTTGTTGATCATGTACCAACTGGCCCAATTAAATGCTTTCTTTCTGGTGCCATTCATATCTTAATATTCAGTTCTAATTGCATAGTAACAACTTTTGAAACGGGCACTTATAATGCAAGGTAAAACTTTTTTTTTTTATTTCAAAAAGGTAACACTCTTTTGAATGTTTACTTTTTCGCATGAAAGCATGTTACTTTATCATTTGTCTTGCATATTTTTGATCGAATTGTTCAGTGCACTATACTGCTCAGCCATATTAATTAGTACTCATTTTAAATTTATGAAGTACTGGATCAAAGTATTACAAATTCAGGCTACATGAACAGGCCTGGGCAGTTAAGGAAAAAATTCTTAACTTAAATAATTGTTATCAAAAACGGCTAAAAAATTCCGTTGTACACAGCGATTGCTCAGGTCACTGACTGCAGCATTGCAGTCGTTCGTTGGATATTTAAGCACAGACATCCTTAAGTTGCCTGTTTTGTCATATTTTCTGCAGGGTTTTCCTAGCATTCTCACACTTGTGCCACTGTCGGAGAGTGTCATAAAACTTTCTGCGGTGTGCATGGTATGCTATGCGGAGGCAGCCTATACAAAACGTCGAGGTCAGGAGAAAGAGGTTGGTATGATTTTTAAAGACGATAGTCTTTCTTGGGTTACTTCTGCTGCTGTCACCCGATTCAGTAGAATGGAGAAAAGTTACCCCTCTTCCAAGGTGACTAGCTGTCTTGATCTGGTTTTCTCGTTCGTACATGCTGAAAGAGAGAAAAAAAAAACAATTCTTGCATATTGGTGTGAAGCCACCTTTCTTGCATTACTGTGAAACCATGCCGTGAGGCCAATTTTAGACCCTGACATTTCCATATAATCCACACCCCGACTCTAGCTTCAAGTAGTCTTCTACTCCGTGCGGGTTAAACGCTAGAAAATCTGGCAACTATGAGTTTTCATGGGAACTGTAAAGTTTCTGAAAACGGGCTTGGCTATATATATATCTTGGTATTTCTTGATTCGTTAGTATTATAGGTGCTCAAGTGAAAAAAATATGCTTTATGGGCTACGTTGCGGCCAGGGATCAACCTTCGCAATGGCATGCCCTGGCAAAGGTCGTTCCTTGGACGCTACGTACGCAATAAAGCATCATTTCTCGCTTGCTCGTCCACCTCACTTAAGCACCTATATATCTATACATATACGTAGCTGACAAGTGCACCAGGGGATACTATATTGTCACGTAATAGAGTATTATGCTTTCAAGCATGCGCGGGCATTGTAATGGTACTGAAATAAATTTTTTTATTGAGCAAGCTTGTGCCCACAAGAAAAATAATGAGGGAAGTGCACCGCCCTCGATAGCTAGCCGAGAGGAAACACCGCCCAGCAACAACTGCCTGGTCCAATGTTGCACGAAACAAGAAATGGCTCGCAAAAACTTTTCGCCCGCTTGGCGCCTTCACAGTACTTATTCGCGTGTGCCTCATTTATCTCAAAAAGAAGCGTTGCCTAAAAGAAGCATTTGTTACCAATACAAGCAAGCATGTCGCAAAAAAAGTCTGTTTGTATTAGCATGCGTGGCACTGCCAAAGAACTGAAAATTCAAATGCATATACGGAAAACTTGGGATAGTAACTCTCATATTTCGTTGCATGCCATGTGAACAGTTGTTGCATCCTGCACTAAAGTTATCAAAGGTTGTATTTAATCATTCCATTCTGCCTGCCATCCAATTTCAGGTGGAGGTCATCGGAGGCACTGACAAGTACATGGCCGTCTGCCGGACTTGCTACTCTCAGGCCGACGACGTGCCTCCGAAAGAATGCTAATGCTTGCACGTGGCGCGTTTATCACGACGCGCGTGGCCTCGCGTGATGTCTTGCCCAGTGACAAGCGAATGCTTCTCAAGCATCGCTAAAGATCTCCATTTTATACCGACGATGAGCGTCCTTTACGCACATCTTCTGTTATGCATTGTGGCGCGCGTTTGCCGACCCGAATGTGGGTGTGCAGGACAAGAAGCAAGGCCCACCTGCTTGAGTCTTGACAACCTCATCTCGTTGCGCAGCATGCTGTGGCATTCACGACTCTCTTTGCATAATTATTTCTACTGCATTTATATATATCATTATATCACTGCATTTAAATATCAGTATCGCCTTGCACTGGGTATATTTGAGCACAACTGTACCATGTTTGGAGATGTTCATTATATCAGCGGCATGTCCTCATGTATCACAATATCACTTCTCAACGTGCATACAGACTTTAGTTAATTTTACTTTTGACTGCAGGCCCCAGCCAGTATCCATACATTTCTGTGGGACCAAAAAGTTAGCTTTTTGTCGTGTAATTTGAACTTTGCCAGGTGGCTTACATGTGGCCAGCCGCAGTGGTGATTGCAGTAATGACTCGGCGGTGGCAGTGCCCAAATTTGCAGCACTTTGGGGTGTGCTAAATGTGATGGCATTGTCGATTGACGACACGCCCCAGGAATGTATTGAACCTGAAACTGCCAGCTTGAATTGAATACAGCAATTACATAATTCCAACATTTACCTTTTTCTGTGAGAATTGCTTGGGTAGTGCAATGTGATATGAAACCAGACCTAAAACCGAATGTAATTGGAGCTAGACTGGCAAGCATCACTGCAATTGCAAAACGACTAGCTTTTGCAAACATCTCAAAACAGTCTGCCTGCCTTGGCTGTTAAGAACCAGCATTGCTTCACTATCAGCCACCCTAATTTCCTTGAGTGCTCTGTAGACTCTGATATATTCACAGTGGCGCTACAGCACTATAGGCACTCTCAAAAAAGGGAGTAAAAGCAGGAGTGTAAGTTACATCTTTGCCCAGCTGAATGACACACTCTTCATTCCATATCTTAGTAATATCGCAAATGGGTATGTACAAAAAGTTGACACCATTGCACTGTTTCATACATGACTTGTTTTTGATAATTGTGAACATGGCATTTTACATTGTAATGGGAGATTGCACAATGCATGGTGAAAATTATGTGCAGTTTTATAATTACCATATCTTGTGTGCAACCCTGATCTATAAACAAATTTTCATGTAGTGTGGGTAACATTCAAACATTACATTAATGTTTGGCTTCACAGAAATTCTGTAGCTAAGACCAGCCCTTGCATTTGTTGCAGCGTTCACATTATTTGACGGAGCGAGGCAGGAATGGCTAATGCATTTGTGATTTTAACATGTCTTTGTCGGAGCCGAAAGGCAATAGTTAGTAAAATCAACCAGTGTAGTATAAACACGATCACTCTGTCAATATTAACATTAGTGTATATATTGCACAACTCAAGGATTATGTAATGGTTTGTATGTCTTATGTATGTAACAATTTTATGCAGATTTCAACCAATATTTTTGTACTGAAGAAATAATTTCTGAAACCATTGTTAACTTTAAAATGCTCCAACTGAACTGCTTTACAACAAATAGCTTCTTTGTAAGTGTATATCTGTTTCTATTACAGCAACAAAATAAAATACCAGTGCTTGTGTATCAATACTCCCTTGCAGGTTTTCTCATGGATACCTGGTAATGTAAATTATGCTAAAACTTTGACCATTGATTTTGTGAGAAGTTTGATGAATGCATTAATATAAAGGGCTTTTAACTATAGCTGTGCGAAAGGCAAATTTTTGGTTGAGAAGCAAATTAAGTGCAAGTATGAATTGAACAGAATATTTTTCAAATATTATAGAATTTCTCGCATAGTTCAAAGCGAAGTTGCAGAAAAAGAAAAAGTTAAGAGTTCCTAAGCATATTCTTCCAAGGTAGCAACATAACTTCTTTTTGCTAGGTTGATGAAGTAATGGCGGAGTGGTGGTTCAATATGTTTTACCGAAAATGAAGCAATGCAACCACAGTGTAGTATGCTAAAACTACCATTTTGGATGCTAATTTGAAGTCGGATTTTTCAGACATTCCAGCTTAAATTTCAGACCCAAAATAGCATTCAGCCCCCACGTCTGCCCAATCTGTCCTCTCCATTTTGGAACCCGCGCTTCTGCTCTTCAAGTCAATAAATTTGCAGCCGCAGTTAAGCCTAAAGGGCAGCTTTGCTGCAATACCAGTGTACCGAGGTGAAGCATACTGAAAATCTGAAGGCGCAACATTCCATTTGAAGTTAGCTATTTGTTTTGGGGAAGTTCGAATAATAATATTCAAGTGCAAATAGATTAGCAAATACTATTAGGAAAATATTCTAAATTTTTAATACCTGCACACCCTACTTTTAACAAGGGAGGTTTTCATATGTGCATGTCTTTACTGCTTGGCGTTCATTGTTGCACTAGCTATACGAAAAAGGGAATTCATTTCTAGTAACATTCTACAATCGACAGAAAGAAAAATGCAGTTCTCGCCAAAGTGTAATGCCACGATTAGCGAAACTTGCCTAGTAACACAACTCTGTGGAGTGCATCGTTGCAGTGTAGTCTAATTTTGTGAATGCCATTTTGCATGTTTTCTTTTTATTCCCAGCCAGCATCTTTAGCTAATAATGCATTTACGTGCACCTAATGTGATCTTTTTTGGCCCAAAATGAGATGACTGCAAAATTGAATGTGGACCTGTTTGTTCTCAGGTATATTAGCTTGATCTGCATTCTAACAAGCCTTGATGTACACCTTGCAGAGCTGCCAAGGCTGCATCAGCATTCGTTTTCCAGTGAAAAGATTGCTGCCAGGTGCAGCTGCTGTGTATAATGATGTGTGAAGCGATGTACCACACTATCTAGCAAAGTATAATTGAGGGAAAAGGTGAAGTTGCTGACAGAGCACACATATTTGCCAAATTTTTTTTTTCAACCTTTCACTATTGTTTTTTGCATAGTACATTGCATTTTTTAGTTACCATCGAAAACATATCGATGAAATTCCTAAGTATTGTGCTTAAGGGTCTCCCATCAAGTTTCAGAATCGCATAAAAAAAGAGCGCAGAATATGATTTACTCGGTGACGAAATTGTCTGCAAAGCATGACGCGGACGCGTAGTGCAAAAACCCTTCATGTTTAAAAAAAAACTGCACAGTTTCGGTCAAAGGAGCGGTGTTTTGGGAAACTGCAAGAGCCTCGTGCAAGCCCTGCAACACAGGCACTGCTTTGAATGTGGGCAGTGGTCTAGTTTGAAATGCTGCCAATGAAGATGCAGCATGAACAAACACACTAAAATATAGCACATAGCCCGTACTTGCCAACACTAATTGCTAATCAACACAAGATGTCGCTTAACAGATAAAGCCAATGGTAGTTCGCACTTGTTGAAATTGAAACACGAGGAAGCATCAGCTGCCAGCCGACATTAGCCACTAGTTGGCTGCTAGCAAAAATTAGCAGACAAATGTTGAACTAGCATTTGATGCGGGTAAGTGAGGTCCAGTACTCGAGGACTGAATGAAAGTTTGCATTCTGTTTTAAAGTAATCACTGCTAATGATAACAGCATCGGGTCACTCGAAATCTTACTATGAAAAGTAATGCGACTGATGCAAGTGTTTTAAGTCCAAATTATGCCAGCACGACATGACCTGTATGCACTGGGAATGAAAATGTGCATTACACGGCCCTTCCCACATTTAATTCCATGGGTGCCGACACATCATGCCATTATGTCGCACATACTCCACCATCTCTACTGAAGAGATGACTAAAATCCAGTCATGGTCATGCGTGTAATAACTTAATGTGTTTAATTGATTTAAATGAATTAAACTTAAACATTAATTATAAATGTTCAGTTAATTTTAATTAACACATGCTATATGTGAATAAATCATTTAAATGAATGTATCACATCATTTGTCATTATTACAACATTTAATTCCTTGCTTTCATAATACCTAAAAGAGTACGAATAGTGAAATTTAGAACTACATACGAGTCAAAAAGTGAACATACCTAATCAAATACAAATCTAACACTATTCCAATAGTTTTTTAATTGCAAGGCAACCATATTGAAGAGAGGCCTAGAATTAAACTTTTTTTATTTCAAACATTCAGAAGGTAATGTTGCCATTACATTTAAGGGATAAATTTATGCCAACCGGGTAATTTCGCATGCTATAGCAACTATTAGAGCATTCTAGGCATTTTTCAACTGCAGGATGGTATAATACAGTAGTTCCTTCAGTATTCGAGGCGATACATTTGTCAGTACTGCTTATCGGTTGGACTTAAGCCTAAAAATTTGAGACCGATTGAACATGGATCTCGTGATAATGGATTGAGGACATTTCTTTTGGCGACTCGGGAATTTAAAGCGAAAATTCTTTCATCACGTGAAAAGTCATGCTTAGATAGACCCTTAAAAGCTTGCTCTAAATGCACCTTGGAAATCCACTGAAATAAGAAAACAGTACGATTCGCTCTTCTGACCTGCTCTTTGTTTGAGGTTTTTCAGTTGTTGCCAATTAATCCGAAAAATATTCGGACAACAAATATGCGCCATTCGATTCGAGCACCGAAATCAAGTACAATGCTATTCGATTTGTTATTTGAAAGTTTTCAAGTATTCACAAACCCCTCACAACACCTGAAATCTAAAGAAACACCCAAAGAGGCTTCTTGTCAACTCAAAATTTAGGTAAATTCTTTATTGTAACTTTTCAATAAACTTACTTCAGTATAACGTGAACATGGATATGAACAAACTACACACTTCATTCGTACATTGAAATAAAACGGCACCGGAATGTTCGTTGAGGGAGGTAAAAACAAACCAACACTTGACGAGTCTACAGCGGTCATTTTAACTAGCATGCTTCATGGCATTTTCCTGCTCCACTGTTTCATAAAACGAACAGCAATCCCAGTACTTCGATAAATAACTATTACTTCCTTGCACATCAATTCGTTTTCACCTCTGCAGCTGTTTAGGAAACTTAACAAAATTCAGTTGTGTCGGCACATAGGGCCTTTGCGACGTTGTCCTGAAAGAAAAGTAAAACGGGCACAAATTGCACATTATGAGGCAGTTTCTCAAGTTCCATTGTTACTGTTAGTGTTTCAAGAAACCTTTGCAACACACAAACTTCACAAAGGTAAATTCTAGAAAGCTCCAGAAGTCAATACGATTTGTGATTAATTAAGAGATTTCAACAAAGCTCTGCAATTGCGGACATTTGACAAATTTTATAGCTAAACAAATGCACTATTTATTACAGGAGCGTTCCATGTGGTGCTTACAGATCCAGCACAGTAAAGGAATGCATACGCCATAACAGCAGCCAACAAATCAGTACGGCTGCACCCACCACCTGAAATGAAGGATGCGCGCAAAATAGCAGTAGCGTCAGTTACCTGCACGTCCACTTAAAACTCGCCGCAAAGGCACCACGTGATTACACTATACTTACCGTGTTTACTCGCGTAATAAACGCACTCGCATAATAAACACACCCCTAACTTCAGTCATCAAAATTTGGATTTTTTTCCCCTGCATAATAAACGCATCCCCAACATTCCTCTTCTGCAGTCCCGCTAACCGACACCTGGCGCCTCATCACCAATTAGCTCTCTTCTGTTTATGACTTTGCCGACACCCCTCAACCACCTCAGCTCACTCTCCCCATTCGCACGTTGTCGCGTGCCTATTGCTTTTCTTTCTATCTCTGCATGGCACATTCCCCCCCCCCCCCCCCCCCCCGCCCCCGTTTTATCTGTGCACCACAACTGGGTTCACGAGTGGTGGGGCGTAGACATCCCAGCTGATAAGCGCACAGTGAGCATTGGTCACCAAACTGCCCACGCCAACCGATGTCGATCGCTTCCTGCGACCCCCCCCCCCCCTTCATTTTTAAAGACGGTTGTCTTTTTTGGGGACCTTCGACGCAAAAATTTTGCTCTGTCTGTCCATTTGTTTGTTGGTTCACCCTTGTAGAGTTACTGTGCCTGCTGTGTTTAGAAACAGTCGTTAACGATTCAGAGTGCTTGGTACTCTACTATGGGCTACCTTGCATATACAGTAACCCTACACCACAGCGCCACTCGATACACCAAACGGCCGATCCCATCCACAGCGCCCACCAATGTTGCTCAGGGTTCAGCGTTCATACTTGTGCGATTGTCAATTAAAAAGCAACTATTGCGCATATCTGAGGCACCATAACACGTCGATGTTTTGCATGTGTGCCTTTAACTAGAGAAGGCACACACAAGTAATTCTAAAGACCGTAGCATTTATCACGCTGCACTGACCATGCAACGCTTGCACGAAAAGGCGAGTGTTTCCAAAGCTTTGCTAAGACGACTTGGTGGTGACCCATCACCTTGCATTCTACACCTTATCACCTCTGAGACGGGCGCGCACCCCCGTCTTCGAGCCACGAGCTTTATTTTTTAAGAAAGCTGCCAGATAGCGCTCATATCTCGCGTGTGACGCGACTTGATGCGCTCGTTCGCCTCTGCTGCATGCTCGAGGCACTCTAACGCAGCGCCTCCAGAATACCATTCACTGATTTTCTTGCCAGAACATCAAATAAATGTTTTGTTCATTCTCTCCACACGCAAGACTATCTTCTTTTGATGACATTTGCAGATTAACATGCAGATACAAAGCCAACATTTTAGCATACTTTCTTTTTCTTCACTCTGTCCCTTTATTCCCCGTTCCCCAGTGAGTGCACGCTTTTGGGCGCCCCTCGAGATCACAAGCAGATACCACTGTTGAGGTTAACCAATTGCGAAAAAAGATCGTCGCGAAACGTATTTATGGCATGGGGGGCAGCCGCCTGGAGACAGCTTGCAGAAGATAGCACCATGAACCACCGAAGATGAGTAAAGTGCAACAAAGAAGCCGATTGCGAACTGTGTACGCGTATGTAAATTGCGAAAGGCTAAGCAACCTAACTTTTTTTTTGCATTACTGCATTTTTTCCTTCCCACGAAAAAGTTTTCCCCGGGTAATAAAGGCACCTCCCAGCTGTGCCTCGACTTTTTAAGAAAAAAAGTGTGTTCATTACGCGAGTAAATCTGGTATTATCACAAGGCGATAGTCAGTCACACAGTTTGCTATACATTTCTCTATTGTATACTACTTTCATATCACTTTAGTGAAGAAAACCATTTCTATAAGGATACGCTTAATACAAACAATGAAAATTACTAGAGAATTTGTATTGATGATAATCCTTTAGAAAGTCTGCTTGTATGTGACTATACACATACAAGCAGAGCTATACAGTACAAATTTTCACGCTTGGATTGCACATGAAACATCAACGTGACATTGCAAAATTTTTCGCAGTACATCAGTTTGTCATACTTTGTGCATATAAAAAATTGGGCAAGTTGCTAATCGGGCCATGACATCACTCCCGATCAAACACAATCTGAGCCTACTCACTGAACGACCTGACACACTGAAGTTTCTTAAAACGAAAGCTTTACGCTGAAATTATTGGCACGCATTTCACTTTAAAACATTCTCACCATTTCAGCAGGGGCGACCAATTGAATGCCACTCCGAAATGTAACCTAACGGCATAGTGCAATTTGATATTGCTCTCTGCTGTTTCTTCACAATATAACTTTCAACATGCCCTGAAATCGCCTAACAATATTGCATACATTCCCAGTTGGCCTACCTATGTACATCATACAGTTTGGAAAAGTTTGCACACCTAGTTGAGGTTTAAGCCTATATTGACGTCACGGCTGTCCAAGAAACTCCATTCCTTGCACTACGTGTTGAGCAGTGTGAACCCTTGAAACTGTTCTACTCCCACTAATGTTTTGACCCGGCTTTGTGCAAAGTGGAAACACCAATGCCATCCTCAATTTCAAAATTTCAAAGCTACGAAAAGTGCAATGCCAATAGTTTGAGACCCTAAACAATGCATTATCAAGGACAGAAGCAGCATTACCCCTGAGGCATGTAGTGGCAGTGCCTCAAAGCCGGACACATTGGCAAAAGCACGTAGCTACTCGAATATTGCTAAAATAATTGGCATGTGCTACCATATTTCAAACTATGCAAGTCGCAAGTAACTGCACAACGCCAGCGCAAGTGCTTGCAGGATGACTACACCATGCTTACATGCTTGTAGTTCCACACGGGCATTCAAACAGTTCAAAAAACAATCAAATGCAATGCTTATGTGCTTCTGTACTATATAACTCTCAAGTAAGCATGGCCAACTTTTGCTTTTTTTCTTTGTGGGGTAACAAAAACTAAGACTAAGTGCTTACTTTTTAAATCTCAACTATTTAATGCAGTGAATTTAACAGCAGTATAAAACGTGTGGCAAACAAGGAAATGAGAACCCCGAAAAATGTAAAGTACCATCGGCAAGCTCGGCTCATTCGTTGTCAAGTATATTAAGCAAAAAATGTAGTAAATCAGCTTGTTCGTTCATGAGAAGTGGCTAAGTGAGTGTCCAAATTAAATACAATTGAATTCGGCCCAGGCGGATCATGCCTCGGAAGCTGGCAATAAAAAAGAGCACACACCAGTTGCTGTTGTCACTCTCGACTGTGCTGCTTTGACATCTTTGCTCCCTTCTCATTTTCTGACAATTTGCTCTTACATATACAGGCCTTTTATCAAACCGTATTTAATTATGTTACATGTAAGATCTCTAACAAAAGAACTGCATACAACAACTAAAATTTTTTTCATTGTCAGTAAACAAGAAAGGCACTCCAGCGAGTAAGCACTGCAGGCACGAACGATTCAACCGGCTTTATGTTCAGACTCCAACATCATTGTTGCCAGCTGTCAAAAAATAATTGAACTTCAGCAAAGAGTCTTCAGCTCTGAAAATTCGTTTCCGCATCACTCAAAACTGCTACAAACCATGGGGTAGGAAAGAGCGCAGAAGGACAAACGAAAATGTAGTGCTTATTTTTCTGCCAGCTGAATCCCGACGTGTCACTAAAATCAACTTGCTTGACAAACGTATATACAGCAATGTGAACTGGAGCTCGCTAGACGTAGGAATGTAGAACCAAGTGCACACTTGAACTTTGATTCTAGATGAGCATTTGAGGCTTGAACAAAATACTGTGTACAGAAAAAAAAACGAGTTCTACGAGTAGTGTTCAAGTTTGTTTCAGTGATAAAAAATTTAATATAGATCAAGGCACAGTCTTCACTAGGTGGAATTAACCCTAAATGCCATCCCACTTTGAACTTGAACAAAGGCACATTCATATTTGTTCTATGCTGGTGCAACATATGTATAACAGTATTCTTTCGCACTGTTGAAAATGGGAGTGTTACACGCATCACCATAACATGTTTGAAGTCATAAAAAGAAAAAACTTGAAGTGCAATGCAAATGTCTACATATGGAGTGAAAAATGTAGAAACTGCAAACTTAACAAAAACGGCAATGTATTCTCTCTAAAACGTAAACAAAGGCGCCTTGGTAATGTATGCGTCACAACTCCTTCCTAACAAGAAACTAAATATCTGAGAAACCTAACAAAGGTCATTGCACTACTGAGCTTGAAGAGTTTTAGGAAACTGTGCCACATCATTGTACAAAGAAAAAAAAGAAAAGATAAAGAAATACACTGCTACATACATCTACATCTAATCTCTCTAGAGTCTTTGGGCCTTGAGGTGCATTCACAGACGACGTAGAATTCGCTACCTTTTCACAGAATTACTGCATCCTCGGGCACATAACCAGCAGCACCATGGACAATTTAGGCTTGTTACGTGTGAAAATTGGGTGCTAAACAACAATACTTTCGTTACAAAACTGCATTCATATGAACAGTGTTCAGTAAATTGAGGTACAACTGTAGGATACTGGGAAAAGAACAAATAGCACACAATTTGCACATTATTACAAGAGCAAAGACCTGCTTCAGGGGTGTGAAACAGTGCCAGAATTGTACTTGTGTCTGACGTTAGAGGTTTCCTAAAAATGTGGTCTCGTTTCACGGCAATGGTAGACTGTATAGCCGTGATGTCGCAACACGGAAAAGCCTCATGTGACCTCCATGGACATACTTTGCTTTTGAAACTACTCAAAGGAGTGGTACTTGCATAGGTCGAGCTGCGATGTTAGGCAAAAGTTATTACAACTGCGTAGTACCATTGACATTCTTAACAAGGCTGAGGAAGACTGGTACCATGACGATTGTGAATAGTGTGATTGGTAATGGAGCAGTTTTCTTTTTTGTCATAAGTTTCCAAATAGCATGTAAGTTGGTGAATCACCTACCTGGCTGCTGTCACAAAACATCTTACAAACACATTAGCAGCAAATAATTATGGAAGCATTAACGGAAAATTAATTGGAGAATTATGGAGACACACTGTTTCTGTAACGCCTCAGAGCCCTCGTTTGGCAAGGTTTGTGAAGTAGCCATGCCTTTAAGCTCACTGCTATTAAGAAGTAATGGATGCATTTTTTTTTTCTCTTAGTCTTGGCACTGAAATATGACAACATTTCAAGACCTTGTGAAGCTTATATCTGTAGTATTTTATTGCCCCAGCTTTCACTGGAGGATGTATCTACGCCGTCTAAGCAAAGTCTCATTTGTGATCAAGCAAAGTCTCCTATGTTCCAGTTGTCCTCTAACATGTACGAAAATGCAGTAACTCTGATCAGTGTACCCCGAACCTCAAATAATCCGGTTTGCAATTGCACACATGCCTTGTCCTAACGGCTTCACAAGAACAAGCGAGAAAGTATTGTGGACAGTGCCTGCAAGGTCTTTCCTGCCCAAGCCGCTTGGCAACAGTCCACAGAACTGCATTATGTGACTTGTGCGCCTTTCGGCCTTTCGTACGTACGGCTACCACCCCTGAAGCCGTTGAAACAATGGAGAGGGAGAGGGGGTAGCAGCAGATTCGCTGGTCTTATGGGCCAATCCTCATTGTGGCACTTGTGTTCCTGCGTTCGGGACCATGGTTGCCACAGCGGGTGCCATGCTGCTCCACAGGGCTCCCAGCTGAAATGTGCAAAAGAGGAAGAAGAAGAAAAAGACCTTAAATCACGGACCTTAACCAAAGACCTTAACAATTTTCCCCTGCAAACCACGGCTTCCTATTGCTACCTTGGTGTTTACATGTCCAACAACTTGTCATGGAAATATCACGTTCATTACGTATCAGCTAAAACAAACCAAACCTTAAGTTACTTGAAAAAGAAAGTTTTATCTTGCCCCACCGTCACTGAAACTGTTGCTTTATAGTACATACGTTCACCCCCAACTAGAATATGCCTCATTTGTCTGGGATCCGCATTGCTCTACATTAATACAAAGCATTGATGCAGTGCAAAATCGCTCTACTCGCTTGATCTAGTGTATAGTGGCGAATATAGGTCGAGATTTTTTCCAAAAAATGTCAATGAAAAGTCACCCCTCGACCTATATACCGGCCCTTGGCATAAACCAAGTGATCGTCTGGCAACAAGAAGTGTCACATGCTTTTTGGGCATCAGCATCGACATCGCCTCTTTGAGCCGGCGTTCTCTGCTGACGCCATTTTTCTTTTCTTGTCCATTTAGTGTTCGTAGCGAGTATCGACGTCACTTTGCGACTAGCCATGAATACGGGGACGCGGCGCCAGTTCACTGCCGCGTTTCAAAGAAAAGTTATCGAATTCGCGGAGGCGAATGACAACATGGGGGCACAGCGGCAGTTTAGAGTGTGAGAAAAACGTCGGGTACTGGCGCAACCAAAAATCCAAACTGCCGGTGTGTAACGCGAGGAAGACGTTTCGCAGTCACCGAGCTGTGCACCCGGAACTTGAAGACAAAATGGCGGATTTCGTCCGCGAGTACCGTGCCAGATCCCTGCCGGTGAATGTGGAGCTCATTCGATCAAAAGTCGTCGAGCTCGCCCGTGAAGCCGGTTTATCAAAGAAAGACTTCAAGGGATCCATTTATTGGGCCCGTTGCTTTATGCGACGCAAGGGATTTGCCCTTCGACGGTGCACGTCGATATGCCAGAAGCTGCCGGAGATGTACGAGGACAAATTGATAGAGTTTCAACTCTACGTGAACAGCCTCCGGCGGCAGCATGGCTACATGCTAGCCCAGATCGGCAACGCCGATGAAACGCCGGTGTGGTTCGACATGCCGTCGTCCACGACTGTTTGCGAACGCGGGGCAAAAGAGGTGAGGCTTTTGTTGACCTGAAGAGAACATTCACGCTTCACTGTTATGCTTTCCTGCACGGCCGACGGCAAAAAGTTGCCCCCCTTCATCATCTTCAAGCGGAAGACAAAGCCGAAGGAGGCCTTCCCACGGGATGTTGTCGCCCGCGTCAACGAGAAGGGGTATATGGACGAGGCCCTAATGCGGGAGTGGATCTGGACAGTGTGGAACCGGCGGCCCGGAGCACTCCTGCAGCACCGGAACATGCTCGTGTTAGACGCGTTTCGCGGGCACTTGACCACATCGGTGAAGGAGAGCCTTCGCGACGGAAAGACTGATCTTGGAATGACATCCAACACTCTAACCGCTGGACGTTGTCGTTAATAAACCTTTCAAGGACAGTGTGCGTGCGCTGTACACCGAATGGATGGCTGGCGACAACCCGTGGACACCGACAGGCCGGCTGCGCAGGCCACCTCTTGCGACAGTTTCTGGTTGGGTCTCCGAGGCATGGAGGTCTCTACCTGAAGAGATGGCGGTGCACGCATTTAAGAAGTGCTGCATCAGCAACGCTCTCGACGGCACTGAGGACGACATGCTATGGGAGGCGGCTAGCGATAAGCAGTCGTCGGAGGAGAGCTCCGACAGCTCGAAGGACTGAATGCGTGAACTATTCCGCATTTTTCGTTTTTTTTTTTTCTCTTTTTGCTGGTCAAATTAAGGGGGTTGACCTATATTCCGCCTCGACCTATATTCCGCATTATACGGCAACTACGATCGCAATACCAGTATCACAAACATGAAAGCTGCTGTTAATCTCCCTTCCCTAGCAACCTGTAGAAAGCAATCACGCATTTGTATTTTTCACAAATTTTACTACCACAACCCTACTCTTCGTTCCTTGTTGATATGCCCACCTCCATTCCGCTCACATCGACTTGATCATCATCATAAGGCTACCATACCATATTTTTCAAGTACTGCAAGCTCGCAATCATTTATTCCCAGAACACCAGTTGATTGGAATCACTTACCAGCCTTCGTAACTGTCATAACTGACAACTGTATTTAAAAATGTCTTATCAAGCCTTCTGTAGTGCAACATATTTGTTTCTTCTGCATATTGTACTTTACTGGATATTTTTTGTATATTTTGCATTTTTTGTAATTATTCTGTATAATGCTTTTAGTTTCACTTTCGTACTATTATTGTTTATGCTTTCGTTTACTGTGTACACCCCCACCCCCTTTATAATGTATTCATATTCTGAGGGCACTACAAATAAATGAATAAATAAATAAATAAATGGAGAACTAGAGGATTTAACAAGTAGCTGACTGAACTAGTTGGTAGTGCATACTTAATAGCTGATGTGTTAACGGCCCGAATAAAAAAAAACACATTGACACGGACAGGAAACAGATGGGACAAGCATTGACTTCCAATCTAAATTTCATCCCCAAGAAACTTCTTATAAGTAGCCAAGTTAACAGTAAAAACAGCAAAAAAAAAGATCATGAAAACCGATGCAAACTACTCAAAACATCAACAATTACTGTAGCCTGTTGGGCCAACCCTCCCATCCCAAGAAGCAGAGCTCTCTGTACAACAGTGCAACTGATGGCTTGCTTATGCACGTGTTTCTTTCACGCGCCATCAGAGCAGCCTCACAGATTACGCGCACGTGCTCTCCTTTAATCTTATTCAGCACTGTGGCACTTTCATACTGGGGAGTGCGCCCAGACGAGCCCACGTGTTACGCCAGAAAACCGTCTTTGCCATTTCAATAGTTATACTTTCCTTGACATAATAGTCTGTTGGATCTGTTTGGTTTTGCGAAGGCACGTGGCACCCTGTGAGAGCTGGCCTACCTTGGCATGTCCGTTAGCCTGTATGCGGACCAAGGCTCGAGTGATGCCGCCGAGCGCCTCCATGTGGGCGTACACCATCTGGCTCTCCAGGTGGACGCAGTGCAGCGAGAACTGCGTCCTGTGTTCGAGCTCCTGTGCCTGCTTCATTGGATCCACCTGGTGTAGTAGCACCAAAAGAAGACTGGAGTCGTGCAGCTTTCAACAATGCACTCAAGGCGTAATACACTCAAACCTCGATATAACGAAATATCTGTAATAACGAAGTAAATGAAGAATAGTCTTGCAATAGATATGTTAAAAATATACCTTTATAACGAATTTTTGGATCTAACGAATTTATGCCAAAGCTTGTTCTTGGTAGTTTTTTAGGGTCTACAAGGATAAGCATCACAGACAGAACATACTGTACTTTATACCCTTCAGACACTGCACAGAGAACTTGTGCTTCACATGCTGTGTCAAGCATTGCCAGAGGAAAAGCAAAAAGCAGGTACGGGTCAGTTCAGACCCCTACGATCTATATGTATCCGTTTGACACAGAATCACAAGCACCCTTTTCTCCGAAAAGTTGACATATACTTTGATGACTGAGCAAGCACCCCTCCTGTGCTACCACCATTTTTTTCTGTACCCTGTTCTTGGCTACAAAATCCTGCAGCTCTGGTTCTTAAGCACGGAAGTCTGAGAGGCTTTATATATGTGCATGATTTATCGGTAATTTTAAAATATCGTGCTTCGGGCTTGCATTCCCAGTTGCCATAAATTGTCGGTAGATTTGAATAACTTCTTTTGCCCTTGTGATAGCCCACAAGGATTCCCTTCACTTCAGTAAAAACAGTAAGTGAACGCATATTCAACAAAGTATTTTGTTGAGAAGCACAGATTCGCATTCCTAGAGGCTCCTCTGCCACCGTCATGAATTTTGATTTGTGAACAAGCAAGGGCCTTTCCCTTATCTTGTTAGATTATCTTTCAACATAAACTAAACGGTTGGGGGGGGGGGGGGGGCTTGCTTAGCATTTTAGAGTATCTTGCAATATACTTCATAATGTTCAATATGATCTCTTCAATATACTGTCAGGTCGAAAGAGATGTTTGAAGTCGTGCTCATGACAGCCATGCTGAGAGAACTTTCACTTCACATAACGCTTATATGACCGACTACATAATTAACAAATATTCAAATTGCCGCCCAATTATCACAGATTGCTAGAATACGCCTAAGATGACATCCTAACATGGCACCTTCACAACGACGAAATACCCAGCACCTTGTAATAAATTATTTGTGGTGCAGTTATCAGCAGTTCTTAACTAATGCCAGAAAGCCAAGAGCTCATGAAGGAACTTGCAGTTTCAATGCATAGAACAGTAACAAAACTGCTTCTACTTACAGCTCCGAATGAGTTGGAGGACTTCTTCACCATTCTGTTGATGGCCTTGTGGTGGCCAAGTACAACACCACTTTCGTGACGATCACATAACGCCTGTGGACAAAGTATGGGTTAGAGAGGTCAGAACAGGGTCTTGAAGCAAATCTGCTTAACGTGCACGTGAGCTGTATGATACCTTCCCATTTGTAGCGCACACTTACCAATTCACATACAATATACACCACTTCAGAAAGAGAAATTTTTCCAATATATGCGAATGAACACGCTCAAAACTTCATGATATGTTTAATTTACCATTTTATATGTACAGTGTACTCTCAGTAAACGAAAATCTGTTAAACGAAACCACTGCTTCAATGTGTCTTTAGCACGATTGGATTCTCCACCCTTGTTCATTTCACTGCAAATGGAACTCCTGTTGAACAACACACATTTTTCTGGCCCCTTAAGGTTTTGTTTAATGAGTTCACTGTAGTTGCATTTGCTTTATATATTTTGTAGTGCAAATTGCCTATGTAGAAAGCGCAAGGTAGATGTCAATAGGTACTTATTTATAATGTATTGCTTGGTTGAATTGATGAACATTCTTGGAATATAGTGCTCACGTGCTACGACCTTAGTAGAGACTGGCAGTATTCATCACACAAAATTTCTCGAGTGTAGTAATGCTTCAAAAGATCCTGCTAGAGCTTTCATGCTTGCCTTAGCAAGATGATTTTAATGTTATGCTTGAGTGTGCCCGACACTCAACAACATCAGTGTTTGCAATGGTCTAAGACTACAACTATAATTTTGCAAACGACAAAATTGTCAATTTCATAATTGACAAAGCGCAACTGACCTTGTAAGCAACTAGAAGGTCCAGGAATAAGTTAAGCTCTTCTAGAACTTCCTCCTCTTCATGGAGAGACTGAAACAGGGTTTGGTAAAAGTAATATACAAACAATGCAGCTTGATAAATACAGGCTCTACTATAAGTTGTTAAAAAAGAAGAACAGTGATTGAATAGCAAGACAGGCTTCACTAGTAAAGCGTCCTCCATTACTAAACTGCACCTTGCTATAGCAAAGTTCTGTCAGACCGTAAAAGTGTTACCTTTCAATTACATGTTGAACAGCATTAACCATAATAAGAAAAAATTTCGGTTGGGGCATATGCAAAAAAAAAAAACGTGTTTCTGTTAGATCAGCAATGGGTCTTCTGCCAATTTTTGGTGGCAGCATAGAGGCTTGACATGTTGATGCAGGTCATGTCGATTCATGTCGGTGTATGTCATGTGAACAGTGTTAAATCACAAATGTGTGCTTTGCACCATCGCTAACCCTCAACTGTGACGGTACCATCATACAAGACCAGCTCAACGACTCAAAGATGCACGCGGATCTACAGTGCACTGTTGTAAGTTACATTAAAAGATGTAGTTCGAGGTGCCGGCAAACAAATGCAGTTATTCTGCAATTTAACACTTTTTACTGTCACAAACAGCATTTTCAAATGCAGCAAATTAAGCAGGTTTTTTTAATAAAGCAGCAGAGAATCTGTTGACGTAAAGCATGGAAAAACAAATTTTAAACTCATTTTTATACCTGACAATTCATTTCATGCTACCTACCTTCATGCGATAAAGGTTCGACTGCATCCGCAAATCTTTCGCACGCAATGCGAATTTTCTCATGAGCTTCCCACGGAATCAGGAATACGAATGCCCAATCACTTTACAAATATAAACGAAATGTCCCTGCATTATGATTCGCTACTAACCTGTTCAGAATGAGCCTCATGAATTGGCACAAGAAGGCTCTGCAAGGATCGCAATGCCTTCTGCACAATGTTCCAGGCGTCGTTTCCACCCGTTGCCCAGTCGGACTCCAGCTTGGATATGTTGCTCAACGTCCTGCAGATTGCGAGAACACGTTGTCGTGGAAGTCGTCAATCTCGGGAGAAGCCACAAGAGCATGTCATCCCACAGAACGCAAGAATAGGTGGGGATTCAAGGCTGCAAAGGAATCAGCTGATACTTTAGCAAAATTGCTTCCGTGCAAAACGCGATTGTAACTGCACTAGCACTAAAGTAAAAAAAAGACTATAATCCCCAAATTCTCAAACAGGCCTAGACTCACAATTTGCCCTTCACTCAACTGAGCTGAGCACAGCCCTGCCGCTAAACTGACAATGAAAAAGCTGTTCGCAAGCGTCACCGCTGATTATAGCTCATACGCTGTGAGCATCTATGCCGTGGAGTAGATCTGCCATAAATTTTCTTGAGGCAAGGTAGAGCGCAGAGTGGAGAAATGTTCTAGAATATGGTGGCAACATCATTTCACAGTTGCAGCCAGTCGAACTTACAACAAGCTGTAAATTGTGCCTGAAATGTACCTAACAAAATATTCAAGGCTTTTCCTCTACTAACACCAAGCACACCAAATAGATCAAATAGCATCGGGTTTAACCCCGGCACGGCTGGTCACACGTCTGCAACTATCAGCTACTTGTAAGCAAGACTGTAGGCATGTGCGAATATTTGGGCAATTCGAATATTCGAACAAGTATTACAGTATTGGAAGTCGCTTAGAGATGCATTTAGATAACTCAAAATTTCAAAGTATTTCGAAATAAGCCATAAGCCTATATATTAGACCGCATGTAACGGCCCTGTGTAAGAAGTTTCATTGCGGTGTAGGAGTGCTAAGACTATGAACACTTATCCAAAAACATTTGCGCTGCCGCTTATATAGGCAAAGTAAAGTCAATTTTAAACTCTAATGAATTTTACCAGTTATATCTCACATGCTAATGAAATTCGTGTCCTGTTACTTTTCAAAGTAGCGCACACTTCACTACGAAACAACAAAGAAGCCACACTTACCTGCCTTGTTGCAATCTTTATAAAATATTGTGCAGATTAGTGGGATCATGACAAATATGCCAATTTTTCTTTATACTAATATGCGACATATAATATTAAAGCTATACAATTCAAGGTTATTCAACCAAATCACGATTCTCTTCAAATTTGCTTCGAACCTAAAGGTTACTATCCGCACATTTCTACGAGACTGCTGTGCACACGATGCAATTGAGAACTTGTACGCCATTAAAATGTCAGACCATCGAAATGAGCCGTGTTCATAGCAGCAAAAGAGACAAAAATTGAGGTGGATTGAAACAGAAGCCACAAAGGAGCGCACCAGAGAGCAATAAGAGAAACACTGCAACTAGTGCTCTACTAAAAAACCAGTGATGGCACATAATGGTAATTATTAGGGTTTTACATCTTAACATTGTGATATGATTATGAGGGGAACAACAAGCAGCCGAGAACTGTAAGCACTATAACAACGAGGCAGACTAAAGTGACAACACTGGTTGTTTGAAAATTCCATCAGCATTCTCCGACGGTCATTTAAAGCAAAAGAGTTTGCTAGCGCGAACATTACATCTTGGTTCGAAGTGAAGTAGAAGAAAATCGTAATCAGTACTGAATATTTTTTAAGCGATTGCGAACAGCACGATTTGAATAGTAGTAAATTGAAGTTAGGGGCGGTAAACTATGTTCCAGTCTAACATTTCTCACAGTTATCTCACATAGGCTGTACAATATGCTTTTAAACTTCAAAGTACAAAAAAAAAAAGGTTGATCAGGGCGCTGGTAACATGTACAATGAGGATGGAAAAAAATCCAAACAATGTGATGTCTACACTCTCTGCTACATCGCATTTCTTTTCAAGCGTTTGTAACTTAGATGGTAATGAAACGCCGCTAGAGTCATCCGGGATAAAATCAACAACCATTCTAGCATCTCTCTATAGCCACCAAGGTTGGAGAGTGAGGAAAACGGCCCACTACACTGTTTGTTTGCGTTTCTTCTCATCCCCGCTGTGCACTTGCATTACGAAGTGCGGCCTTTCAACAGAGCCGATCTCCTATAAATGAACGGTTTTCATTGCACAGCAGGCCCATGCTGCAGTAAAACCACCCTTTAAAGCATGTGACATGCGGTGAAGTACCAACATCTAGTCATTGGTTTCAACTAGCACTAAAATATTTAGGAAAATTCGAATTTGTGTCGAAACATTAAAATATTCATGCCAGCTTACAAGAATGCTGCACCTTACAAAGGACTTCTATTAGCACAAAGGGTGCATGTTTTCTTTGTGCCAGTTGATGTTTTGTAGGATTGTGCAAACTGTAAATTTTAGGTTTGAAGCCAAATTGTGAGTGAATAGTGATCTGGTTGAATAATTTTGAACCTAACAAAAATAGTATATATCACACATTACAAAGGAAAACAAGCATATTAGCCATGGGCCAATTAACCAGCACAATACTTTTTTAATTGATACAAGTTACGTATAAATGTCATTTATTTTTATTCAAAGGAAGGGGAATCAAGTTTGAACAGTAGCAGGATTTGAATGATCGTAGAATGCAAGTGATAACCTGTAAAATGCATTATGTTTCAAAAGGTTACGCTACAATGAGCACATAAGCTGGTGTAACAAGCTTTTAAACTTGAAATATTGTGAATAGATCAGAGGGTAATGTTTTCCTAAAGTAAGGCTTCGCAGCAGTGCGGAGTTTTTTTTCAAAAGGTGTATTCATGGTGTAGCAGTTCTCCATTGCAGTGAAACTACCTTTACAAAGAAAGGGGTCACATGCGGATTAGTATGCTACACCTGTTCATTCATGACGAATAAAATTCAAGATACCACTCATTTAAATTTGAATCAAGGCATATTGGAATACTGTAATGTTTAAATACTTCGAATGTTCGAAGTTCGTGAATATCCGCTCAGGCGTATTTAAACGACAAAGAAAGCTCCGGTGAAGCGCCTGGAAACAACCAGTCGGATGCGCCTCGTCTTCAAGCCTCTGGGCCAAAGAATGCAAAATGGTTTGCGTAAACAGTTTGCCATAATTTTTGTGTAGTAGGGAGCCATTTACTATGCCATCCTTCATGATTCTTCAAAGAAGGGTGGTACCTGACAGGCACTTGCAAGAAATTTTGTGCAATTTTTTGAGGCTGTGGCTGACGACGATGATGAATTACGCCTGAAGTTCTTGTAATGAATTCGAGCATTCGATGACCCATTCGTTACACGATTCGCATTGTGTGATGCCTGGTTGTTCCTTTGCTGTAGTGAAATACTTTGTTACTCACATTAACGAGATTCCTATTCTGACATCAAGTCAGCTGACAGCCACTTTGCACCGAAGCTAAGCACCGGCGTGGCTCAGTGGTAGAATACTCGGCTGGCACACAAAGGACCCAGGTTAGAATCCCACTGTTTTTTACTTTGCGCGATAGTGGTTACGGTTGCCGGCGGCGGCGGATAACTTTGGCGCATGCGAGCGTTGTTGTAATCTCATCACAGCTTTCCCTGTGGAACACAAGAGACGCCAAGGGGCAAGCGAGGAAGTACTCACGCGAACTCCTTGCTGACAACGAGGATGTCCACAGCGGCCATCTTGGATCGGTCGACCATGCGCTGGGTAGCCTCGCGCAGCTGGCTGAGGCAGATGTACACCTGACGCAGCTGCTCTCGCGCCATGGCAAACTGCACCGTCGTGTCGCTGGACACCAGCTCCTACGCTTTCAGACCAAGAGAGCACAAAAGTTGGGCCTCCGACAGCTCCTGCTTGCTGTCAGTACGGCATGTAAACAGTCTAAAGCTTTGAGTACGAAATTCAATACAGTAAAACTAGGCTTGCACGAATAGTGAACTTTAGGTTCTAAGCGAACAGAGATTCGGTTCAAATATTTTCAAATCATAATTGAATAGTATATACCCTGTAATATACCAAAAAATGAGCATATTTGTCACAATCTTACTAACCAGTACAATGTATATATTTTTTAATTAAAACAAGGCATGCGCAAATATAATTTTTTATGGTTCGAAGAATGCGGAAACAACTTTGAGTAGTAGCATGATTTGACTTTCGGTAGAACGCTAGTGATAACCTGTAAAATGTGTTACGTTTTAAGATTTACTATACTTGGAGCATATAAGCCGGTATACCAAGCTGTTATGCTTTTAGGCATAAAAGACAAAGTAAAATGCAAAAAAAAAACTGAGTGTTTCGTGGAACAGTACTCACGTCCGACCGACGTGCGACGTCACTGGTAAGGAACTCGTCTGGCACATTTTTGCAGTACTCCTTGAGCCGTGCTTGAACATCCTGTAGGTCACAATCGGGCAAGTTTCACAGACATTTCGTACAGAGAACAATACATCAGTACACTGCAACGGATGGATGCAGGGTGAAGGGGGGATGCCGGAACGTCCCCACCTCAGCTCCTCCTAGCTTGAATTTTTGAATATACAAGCCAAAAATGGGTGTTGAGGCCCCCTACTTTTGGTATTAGATGCCTTAAACTGACCCCTCCCCCCTGTTCTCCCAAGAAAAAATCCCCTACCAAACGCCCTACGTCGTGTGGTATGGGGATGCCCACAAGCATCTGGCACCATAGGCAATTAAGCAATATTAGAAGGGCAGTGGGAAGCCAAGCCATCAGACCTCGACTACGAACGATCAGCGCAGCCTTATGAAATGGGCTGGAGAGGCGGTCATGGCCCACAACTACCTTAAATGACGTGTAAGTGCCCGCACGGGTGGTAAGACAGCGGCCTCTCTGATCAGTAGCGCCACCTGTGGCACCATTACGGTGGCTCACCCACAGGCCCAAGTAAGGGCCGAGACGCTTGCCCTTGCTCGTGCCCCTGGCAAGGTCAGTCGCATTTTACGATGTTGAAAGAAAACGCATTTTTCTGCTCATACAGGGCTCAACCCTCACACCTAGACCTCACAAAGGAGGCCGCCCTGCTAGGGCACACAATGCGCTGGCTCAGGATAAATGATCATTCCCTCTTCCTAAGCCCCTGCGTGGAGCCTCTAGCTTATATCCCCTTTATCTTGCCCAATAAATTTTCCTCGACCAGAGACTGCCTTTTTTTTCTTGATACACAAAATTTTCAAAATCTTGCCTAAAATAATGGGCAACAAAAATTTGGCATTCAAGTATCCACATACAAAAAGCAGAGACAAATTGGAACCGTTTCATGAATAATCAAAGAAGTTTATTGATTAATTAAATTTTTAATTATTGAATACAGGCATCTAGCCCAAATGTAGTTTGGGGCTCGCTCTCGAAATGATCGAGACCTAAATTTTTCCATTATGGACACTCTTGAAAGAGCATCACCAACAGATGCTTTTTTAAATCATCACTGGCAACAAAATGCAGCCTATAGTCGAGCTTTGCCTGGATGTGAGAGCAATATTTTCTTGACTAACAATTAAAATTAACCTATCAAAATGCTTTAGTGGAAAAAATAGAGCCTCAAAACTCACCGTGCCACTAAACGTCAGGAATATGTTGACTGCTTTGTCGAAGCCCAGGACGGGATGCCTTGCAACAAGGGTGAGAAATCGCCTGAGCGCCCGCCTCCGCTCTTCAATAAAATGCGAGTCAGCTGCATTGGGATAAAAAAAAGGGAGCCGTGAATGCTGTCGCCGAGATTTAGTTTAAATATTTATAGGCTTTATGGTCCCGGATAATAAATCATGACTAGTCATTGTATTAGTGAGAAAACACTTAAGAAGGCAGTGTGCCCTGTGACCACTACAGTTATACCTCGATATAATGAACCTCGATGCAACGAAATATAGGTTATAACGAAGTACATTAAAAATAGTTTTTCAATAAATATAGTGTTAGGAATATACCTCTATGACGAATTTTCGGATACAACGAACTTATTTTCGTGTAAGATGCAACTTTTTTATATTGAGTTTTGAGTGCAATGGTGCTGGAATGCCGGGTCATAGTTGCTGGGGTTTAACATCCCAAAACCACCAGATGATTATGAAAGATGCCGTAGTGGAGGTACCCCGAAATTTCAACCACCTGGGGTTTTTTAACCTGCACCCAAATCTGAGCACAAGGGCCTACAGCATATTTGAATCTATCGAAAATGCAGCCGCCACAGCCGACAATCGTTCCCGCGACCTGCGAGTCAGCAGACGAGTACCTCAGCCACTTGACCACCGCGGCGGGGCTGACAGGATCAGCAAACCATAGTAAAACTGTATTGGCCTAATTGATCTTATTAACCGATATATATTTGCTGTCAGTTTTTCCGAGTAGCATTGTAAATTTTGTAAATAATTTTCGTTGTTCCATTCCGTTTCTTTTGATCCTTGCACTCTATTTCTGACCCATCTACATGAAAGACTTGCCACTACAGGTACATAATTTAATGTTAAGTGGGGTTTTGTGTACCAAAACCATAAGATTACGAGGAACACTGAAGTGGAAGGCTTCGGAAATTTTGACCACCTGTTGTTCTTTAACACGCACTGACATCACACAGTACATGGCCCTCAATCACTCCGCCTCCATCGAAAGGTGACCGACGCAGCCCGTATCGAACCTGCGCCCTTAGAGTCAGCAGCCGAGCACCCTAACCACTGATCCAACAAGGCGGACTGTCATTACACGTACGGTCATCTATGTAACACGTCAATGTTACATAGAATAACAAAGTGCATTGAACTGACATCTAGTGATGCGCAACTGTCAATTTTCCCTCCCTGACAGAGCAGAAGCTGTAAGTGATGCGTACCCATCGCTCGCTTTGGTGGCAACTGCGGCACAGCTCGGTAGGGGAACCGTTGCACCAGGATGTCAAACAGCGTCACGAAGTCGTTGTACCGCCGCTCGACACGAGACTGGTACCTCTGCAAGACACGCACACCAAATGTGAATGTTGTTAAGTAAGCCTGTGCGAGTAGTGAATTTTAGGTTCGAAGTGAATAGTGATTTTTTTTTTTCGAATAATTTTGAATAGAATTGGAATAGTTGGTGTGTGGGTGTGTGTATGTCATGATATAAAAAAATTAACACATTTATCACGACGCAATCAACCTGTACAATATTTTTTAAAACTGAAACAAAGCCTGTGCGAATGCCGTTCTTTTATGTCCAAAGAATGCGGTAACAACTTTGAATAATAGCAGTTTTTTTACTTTCTAGAATGCAAGTAATAACCAGCAATATATATTATGTTTCAGAAATTACTATTGACTTACACATAACCGGAATAACCTGGTATAACATATAACACACCATATAAGCCATTTTAAAAAGCTTTTAAGCGTAAATGATGAATCGATGTGAGAATAAACCTTGAAGTAAAGTAAGTTATTGAAGTAAACCTTGAAGTAAAGTTCTTGGCAGTGCACAATTCTCCTGAACAAATGTTTTCACGGCTTCACGCTTCTTCATTGCAGTAAAACCACATTTACAGGAAGTTACATGCGGACTAATATGCACTCATTCATTTAGAATACTTCAATATTTCCAACAACTTTAATTCAAATCAAAGCGAATGTGAATATCGTAATATTCATTCAAATATTCGAATATTTGCACAAGCCTATTATAAAGCGTGACACATAACTATTGCTTCTCTTGCATGCACGAGTCAATTTTTCTATAGCTAATTATCGAAAGCCAGGTGCGCATACATATTTCTTCCTGAAGAATCTAAACAAAAAGAACATGGAGGTTAATTTCTAAAGAAATATCATTGCGTGACATTCAAAGTGTAACTATAGTAGGACATATCCTTAGTGGCATCTGCAGGTATCACTACAGATAGCTTGACATTTGTATTACTTCCTCACAACACTATTAATAGTGTTTATTACTATCTTGACTAAAGTTATTTGCTCTCTAAGAACATCAACCGCTATTACAAGGCCAAGTCATTGAACAGCTATCAATGAAAAGGATGAGTGACATAGAAGTACAAGCTAACCTGACTAGAAACCTCGTAGACTACATGCTTGAGAATGATGCCTTTCTTTTCGGGAACCAAAGCGACGCGAATGGTGTCCTGCGCCACCATCTGCGCGTAGCTGGTGTTGAGGATGCGTGGATCTGCGCCACCAGACTTCAGGTCCAGGCTCATCATCTTGCGCCCAGTCAACCCGAGCTTCTCTCGAAGCTCGGCCGGACTTGGCAGCAATGGATTTGGCAACACTAAAGAAAACAAGGATAGGCAACACAATAAAACCTCCACTTTCTAGCAAAATCAAATAATTCGGTGCTGAAATTAGTAAACACGAGCTTCGTTTCAGGCAGAAGCCGGCAGAAAATAACAAACTCAACGCATTTTTTCCAAGAACTGCCAAGTCCAGTGGCCACACCGTGAACTAGAGAAGGTGGCAGTTATTTTCTGCAACAAGTGCGCCCGCCATGTCAGCTGTCACACAAATCTTTTGACGTGCACTGCTAGCACTACATAGTGGAATTTAGAGCGCGTAAACAGACAAGAAATGAAAGACAGAGGAATACAGACAAGCACTCACTTCGAACTATAGTTTATTTACAGAAAGGGCCAGGTTTTATCCTACACCCAACACGGTATCTGGAGGACAGCCATCACCTCAGAGTTAAAAAAAAAATGCAAAGAAACCCACGCATCTCCTACGCATGAAGATACCATACAGAAAAATCAAACTGAGGTGAAAGACCACACATGTAATGGCAAGCAAGCAAGTGGCTGTCGCTGGCCTGCTCTCAGTGTCAAAAACTCATCTAGGTAAGCCACTACACTGGTTAGTAGGTTAATGGATATCTGGATGACGCACGTGGAAACACTACAGTTCCTAGAATCAGTACAAACAAATCGGCAGTAGACCATACTCCCGGGTGGGGCATGTCTCAGCACTTCCAGGCAAAAGGGAAAGTGGGATGTAAAGGAGAGGTGAAGAAAACCAGGACAGATAAGCATGCAGCCCTCCTTTTGTTGCGAAGACACTTGACATTACGGCATCGATACGCAGCTCAAAGAGCACACTGATGCTGCAGTTCCCACCACGCATCATACTTTAAATGGCTCGCTGTATTTTTGAAGACATGGGAGCAATTCAGTTAAAGATACAACAAACCGTTCGAAAATAGGTGAAATGAACTGTCTATCAGAACAGTATCACTTTCAGAAAAAAATTTCCACATTTTTACATTTTTTCTCTATTTTCGTTCAGTGTTCTTTGAACACGTCCACTGCCTTTTTTTTGGCACTTCTGAACATTTTGTGCAGTGTTTTGTTTTTTTTACCAGTGAAAGCTGTTACGAGTCCCAAGAATGACAGCTTTCATCGCCATAGTTGTGTGCTGTCACCACGGTTGGTGTGCTAAGCCACTATCATGGAAAATAAGAACAAGATAATGAAATAAGAAAAAAATGTCCAGGATGAAATGGGCTCAAACCTGGGCCCTTTCAGTGGCTGCCCCGTATTTTACCACAGAGCCATGCTGATACTCAAAACTCCTTTGCAAAAAGGTGTAACAGGTTTTATTTCTGGAAGGAACAGTGTTAACATGTGCAATATTGTGCAGTAAAAGAGTAAATTAACAACCAGAAATCACACGAGAAATCGCATAATGAGCAGGTTGTTGAATGCTTCCAACCCGTTACAAAAGCCTCAGCCACGGCTCTTCATCGTCTTCAGGCTAGCATCAACAAGGTGCACGTAAAGCATTACTGGTGCGTTGCATGTGCACGAAACGAAGAATTATAGCACATTGGAAGCTTCCCTGATTCACAAAACTCATGATTTATAGCGCAGTGGGCACCTAGCGAGCGTACATGAAACGGTTACCAAGCAAGCCCATAAGGCTTCCTGGTAACTCATACACGTACACTTGCTGTAAACGGTACTTATAAACGGCGTGAAAACGCCCGCTTAATTTTTAATTAAAATTTTTTTACAAGGGTTCTCGTGCGAGTGGCACGTAGTGGTTTAAAGAGGCCAAACGAGTATACTCGGGATTGGCAGGGCTGCTGCGTCTGTCATCACCCGAACTATCTCGTGATCAGCAGTGAAAGCATTGGGAACAGCCGGTACGGCACACTTGAGGAATCTCAATAAAACAATTCACAAAGAAAAAGATGCCAGCTATCGTGCACCCAATGCATACCTTCGAGGTTGAGCAGTGTCTTTTCATCAAGCTGCCTGCCTTGCTGCGCTATAGCCACGAGTGCAAGGCTTCTGTACAGGCTTGTAGGGGTCACAGGCCCCTGCTTGGCACCGGCATACTCCCACACCTGAAAAATAACGTTCCAGGGTGAACCAAGGAAGGAAGTGTAAATGTAAAAGCTCGTTTTCTTTGTTATGCACAACATTATTAAGAACTAACAGACAATGATGTCAAGGAAAGTATGGGGATATTATTACACTCAAACCTCATTAAAACAAAGTTGCAAATAAGTTTGTCATATCTGGAAATTCATTATAAAGGTACATTCCTAACGGTATATTGCGAGACTATTCCTAATTTGCTACATTAAAACATATTTTGCTATATCCGGGTTCATGAAATTGCTGTTTGAGTGTAGTGGTAACTGTAATGTAAATTGAAAGAAGGAAAGGTGGACCAGAAAATAGCTTGCCACTAGCAGGGACCGTCCAACAGACTAAAAACACAAAAGGTTTCTCTTTATCTCCAAAATAGCACAACAATGCGATGAGAATGAAGAAAAGAATGAGGCTCATCCATTTTCGTGTTGTCAGGCTATTTGTTTGTAGAATCACATTGCACTGCATGCCGAAAAAGAGAAAACTGTTCCCAATGATTCTTGCAGGAATTTGCACACTACAGTAGCAGCCTAAACAAGAAAGTAACTCAAATTTGCGATGTGACCAGAAGAATACCAGCACTGAAGTCTGAGCGTAAAATTCAGACAAATAATTTCATCTTCCCTCTATGCTCCAGCCCTCTTTCGCTACACAAATGCAAAAAGTGCTTTAAAGAAATACCGCACTGCCGTAAAGTTTAATGCTCAGCTTTCGTGCACCTGTAAATTGATGTAGCAGTGCTTAATGCTACATCAATTACCATTATATTATAAAGTTAACTTACATCCGGTTAACTTAACATTACTTTTACAAATCCCAAGCAAAAGCTCTCCTCCATTTTCTTTTTGAGTTTTTTTTTTTAGCTTTTGAGCAATATGCCCTAATGACAGAGCAAGCACCCCCCCCCCCCCCTCCATCATCCACTACCACCATTTTCAACGTTTGATTTGCTATTTTGGAAACAGTGAATGCACGTGCGTTCAATAAAGCATTTCACTAGAAACACGAGGGTGCGTTCTATATTCTTTGGGGCTCATACTTCATTATCTTGGATCTTACTCCATGACCGAAAGAGCACCCCCTTCAAATTTTATTGGATTATATTTCACCACAGGTGAAATTCACTTGCCTGGAATTTTCTTAGAAGAAAAGCTGATTGAGCACGTTGGCCAAAGTTCATAGGTCGAAGCAGCAAACAAGAAAACAGACAAGAAACACTGCACATATAATACACATGCCTGAATATTTCTCACTTCAACGCTGTCCCTTGTGCTGTATATAATCATTGACATCTCTTATATCCTTCATTCACTACTCTATCTCTTTCCCAGCCAAGAGGCATAGTTCTATTGCTGGTGGCAATTGCCAACTAAATTTACACTTTTTTAACTGTTTTGATGCACTTAAATCTATAAGTACCATGCTTCAGACGATGTTCAACCTTGCATCTAATAATTAAAATGGTGAGGTATTGTTTCTAAGTACCAGATTCAAGTTGCGTTTACTGTACCTTCAAGCAGGCTCGACAGCTATTTAAATGCATCTAGGCTGTTCTATCGCTTCGAATCATCGCAATGGTTCATAATAAAACACTTGTCACTCGACCGCACCTGACACAACGCCGCTTCATGCTGGTGACATGCACAACAGCTTGTCTGGTGCAAGCCAGGTGAGCTTTTTTTATCTGCAGTTTATCACAAACAACATTCGCTGCAGCAGCCGTTACACTCGCCTGCTAGACGCACCTAATGGGAAAACACAAAAGTCCGTATCTATTCTTCGCTCATATCAGAGCAGCAGGGTTCAAGCCTGACTGTCCTACAAAAACAAGATAACTAACAACAGTTACAATGGTGTACAGTCGCACTCAAAATGGCTTGCTACACGGGACGGGAACGCGTGGCCTCACACGTTCAAAGATGGCGTAAGGCTTCTCACTAGCCATTGTTTAAATTACTAAACGCATTTCTGTCGCTTGAGTATTACCTTAAACAAAAGAAATAATATTTAGTTGCTAAAATAAATGCCATTTGAAGTCATTCCTAACATTCGAGCTCATGAGGCCACGCGCTCCTGTGTTGAAACTCATATTGAGTGCACCGATACGTTCCCGGTAAAAAAAACTTTGCATGCATTTCTGTAATAAAGCTGCGTCCAATCGGCTGATTCTATTAACTTATATGTTTCATTTCGCTCGGACACCAGAAAAAGTTCGCTATTCAACTGCTCAAATGGACAGCTAGCCTTATAGTAAACTTGACTATAAAATCACAACAGGTTGTTAATTTAGCTCCATTGGTACAAAAATGGCAGTCTATGCTGTGCCAGTCACAAGGTGTCATAAATCACCAGTAGAAACAGCAAAGGCTGTATTGTTCAAAGTCTAACAAAATAGTAAACTTTGTCTAAAAAGTTCATAACTTCTATGAGGAACACAATTGAATCATCTTCTGAAATGATGGTGAGGTGTAACGAAGATGTGTGCCAGTGGTACATTGTAAAGCAATATTTGTGTTCTTACATTTTGATACGTGGGCATGCGATTAAAATGTGTAGTAAGCTTACAATTGTGAAAAGAGTACATGCTGCAGAATCATTCAGCAGAAATATTTCATTATTTCTGCCTATTAACTCTTCCCACAACTGTGAAATAATAATAAATTGTGACCAATGAACCCTGCCAGTTGCCAAGAGGAGAAATACCGAAATGAATTTGTGAGTAAGATCAACGGCAGTTTCTATTAATTATTGCATGTACAGCATAACGTGCACAAAATTTCATTAGTAAGTAACATGTACACAAAGTGAACCCTAATAATAACGAAGTTATTAAAACAGAAAAATGACTTGGTTACAGGTGCCAGAGTTACGAAGGACAGCCATATGCTGGATGGACAATTCACCTTTATGGAAATTCATCAAACATTTACCATAGTCAATGAAGTCATATTGTTTCTCTAAAAAGCAGCATGTGAGTAAACACGATGCATTGACTAAATAATTCATTTTTCCCATCAAGAGCTTCCGCTTTTTACTGAAAGCGCTAAGACTGTACACTGCACCTGGGAAAACGAAGAGTATAAAAGTGCTGCCCACGCCCATGAAAACAGTTCACTATTGCTTTGGCCCTTATGCAACACCGCTGCTCCCAAGAGTGCCACGGTACCTCCTTACAAATTTTTGGCCCAGCACGTTTATTCAGAGAATCACTAGACAGGTTACGCCAAGGGCCTTGTGGGAAGATTTGCAGCTTTGATATTCACACCAATCAGAGCTTGGTGGTATGGCACTCCGAAAAAAATGACGTCTACTCTGCATACACCATGACGACACTTCAAAAATGTCATAATAGAAAGGTTTCGAATAAGGGCCACAAAGCCTTTTGCGTATGGACGCTTTGGGTCCAGCAAGAGCGATAAGTTTTCGAAAAGGGTCTGCAAAGCTTTGGACACTCGCTATTCTATGCCACTCTAGTCTTGGCCGAGAGCCGTCAGGTTTGTCCGACACAAATCTTTTGGGGCAGGCTTCGGGGCTCCCGCTAAATTTGAAAAATAGCGTCCCCAATCCAAACCCCTAATGTGGTTTTGCGCATGCAAGGTGGCCTTGACGTAAAAGTGGCCCCAATCGAAAGCTCTCTAATATTATCTAGGGTTCAATGTCCCAAACCTGTGATATGATTATGAGAGACGCCGTAGTGGAGAGGTCCAGAAATTTTGACCCCCTGGAGTTCTTTGAGGTGCACCTAAATCTAAATACATGGGCCCAAAACATGGGCGAAAATGTGGCAACCACAGCCGGGATTCAATCCTAGCGACCTTCTGGTCAGCAGATGAGCAGTAGACCACCACGGTGGGTCAAAAAATGTCACGTAATTTAAAATGTTACACTAAAGTTGCCCCATATATTCTAGTAAGACCTTATTGAAATATTTGTGTTTGTAGAAAGGTTCCCTGATAATAGCTGCCAGGGGTTTTAAGTCACAGAACCATGATATCATTGAGAGACACCATAGTGAAAGGCTCTGAAAATTTTGACCAATTGGGTCTCTTTATTGTATGCCTGTATCTAGCAGTAAAATGTAGCTGCCTTGGCTGGAATTCGATCCAGCAACCAATGGGTTGGCAGTCAAACATGATAAGCACCAGATCACCACAATGAGTAAATAGTTGATTCAACTTGCCATTTATTAGTGGTCTGGGCGAAATGCGACCGCCACACCTAAAGAGCTTTTCAAGTTGAGATACAAATTGTAAACATGATTAAGGGCTGAAACATTAGGTTTCAGCTAACCAACATTCTGCGCAGCACGACAGACTTACCTCTCAGCCCCAGAAACTCCGGCATGCCTCTGTCAACTAGCCATCAAAACCACGCCATCGAAAAAGACAATGCGAAAGAAATATGCTTCCACTGCATTAACCGGTTTCAAGCAACCTCATCGTTATCTCCGTTAAACCCTCAGATAAGCAGGGCTGACACAAAATAGCCACATCCGGAGGCGTATATACATGTATAAAAACGGGATGGAGGAAGGGGAGGGCGGGGATAACCCAGCTGGTGCAATTCGCCTTATCTTTGTAAGGCGACGCGGTGTATCTCGACACTTCTATCCTAGATGCAGCCCACGCGAGATTGATACATCCTCTCCCACTTCTTTTCTCCTCTGGATAGTACTTTAGCTTTTTTTCCTTAATCCTACGTCTGTAAAAGAACCGCGCAGGCACAGAGACAAGAGCGCGCCTAAACGGGCTTACATACTACGCAAATACAATTGAGGCCTATGGGTATTCCGTGACGCGCGTCATGTAGTACGCGCGTTTCTGCGAAGCCACGCGTCCACCTTGCGGGACATCGATAATTGGCCGTACGACATTCGTGTCGTACAGCACATGCGTCTGTTTTGCCGCCGTTAACTCAAGCGTAAAACGCGCGCGGAATCGCCGATACAGCTGCGTTCACAAATTCCGTCACTGTACCGGATACGCAAGGAAGTGCGCGAATCGGCGTTCATACATCGCGCCAGCGGATATAAACTTGGCAGTAATTCGTAGATATCGCTACGCGACCCCTCCTAAGCTCATAGACAGGCGGCGCAGCTCTTTGATCGGAGCGATCCGAAAGTACAAGAATCGCGGGCGAAACGCTAGTGAACTTTCGCGTCCCTCTGGACAGTTCGCCGAAAAGCTCTGCCAGCACGCGAAAGCCAGCGGTGAACCTACGGAGAACGTGCACACATTTGCATACGCCACAAGTGCCTTCAGATCAGCCGCCACACTGTGCTACCCTTTCGGCGCAGCGGGCAAACTTGCCGAACGGGTTTTCCAGCTGAGCTCGCCGCAAATGACTTTCGCTCGGAGCCCGTGAGAGCCATCGACGAAAAGAAAACGCGGTCAGTTGAGGAGAGGAACACAATGGTAATAAAGAAAAAAAGAAAGGTCATCTTTTTTTATCCAGGTTTCCTAACCACCAGGTCTTGCGCGCGACAACGGGAGGCGTTTCCGCGTCAAGTGGTGCCCTCGTTTCAATCTCGTCACCCACCCACCTGATCTAACGTCGTCTTCGGAAGGTTCGTCGACGCCAACAGCCGGCCGAAAAGTTCGCGGTCGATTTCGTTGCGGTCGTTCGGGTTCAGCAGGCCGTGGACTTCCTTGTAGAGTACCGGCACCGCGTCTGCGAAGCCGCCACGTAAAATGTAGCAGGACGTGACACAAACCCGCGCATTCGGCTCGTGCGTCGTCGATCGACACATGTGTACTACGACAACACGACCCCGAAAACAAACGCTCCTGCGTCGATTTTGTTCACTCACCGACGCTCAGGTCGACCGACATCCTGCGTCAGAACTTTCAGGACCAGGAGGCTCACCGATAACGCGTCGCTTCCATTACTTCACGCTTATTTCTGGACACACACTACAAGTTTACCACGCGCACCGAAGGCATCGCACGCCGGACGCATCGCCGAAGCGCCGGATCCGAAAACAACTTTCTCCACCCCCCTTTTGTGGGGTGCGCTAAATGTGCGGTGCGAATAAAAAAGGTCATCAAAAACTTTTAAAAACGCCTTTAAGTACGTACAAGTATTATATTAAAACTTATTGTTATTGAAAGTTATTATTACTTACAGTTGACATTATGTTTTTAAAAACATCAACTGAAATTTTGCCAGAATGCGTAAGTTTGTTACGTGCCGGGTTTTTTTTGCACCCCCTGCGCTCCTCGCTTGGCAATGGCGGCTGTTGCGGTCCGTTGCCATGGTGAGCGACGTGCGCTTAGACGCTAGAAACTTGACAGCTCGTCGTCGCAGCCTGGCAAAACAATTATCCGCGGACCTCCCGTTGCTCGAAAGAGACGTACACAGCTCCCCGCAGCCTGTTCTGTAGCTCGTTAAAAGTTCCGACTCCTCTCTTCGCCCCTCACACTCGTACGTGTAACTTGACGCGCGACGCCAGCAGTTTTGTCGGCGGCGCATAGCTTCTCCACTTTGTCCTGGACCGTCACTGCGACGCGTCTCTCTCTTTCTTGTGTTTTCTCGTCGAGACTGTTTGACTGAGAAAGCGCTTTCCGTTTCGCAGGCGTCACGTCGCTTCCTCAGGGCTGGCACCCGATGAACGGCCCGGTCCAGAATGACCTCCCGAAACAGCCCGTTGCCGCGCCCCGGACGCCCAAGTCGCCGGCGGCGAGGACGACCAATTCGAGTACGGCTAAGAGTCCGGTCTTGAACGGAAACCAGGCGCCCAAAGAGCCCCGTACGTTTTTTAAGCGACCGAAAGGAAACTTCTCCCTGTGGGATGAAAACTTTGCTTGACACGTATCGCGATGTGCTCGCCGCATGACCTCGGAAATTTTGAGTGTAACTCGGTCAAAGCGCTACACCAATTAGGTAACATTTTTTTACCTAATACGGCACGGGTCTTACTGTCCCTAGCTTTAGCTTACAAACAGTTATATTTTACATGATTTAACTGCTTTAAATATTACGTAGTTAAAGTAACACAATAAACCGTGGTGTTAAAATGAGCTCGCATTTGAACTACATCTGTAGACAGGTGGAAAGGATGTCATATATGTTTACCTCCTAAACACTAGCATGAGCTTTTTTTTTCTTTTTTTTTTCGTTATGTTGCAAGACCTTATACACGACAAGCTCAAACTGAAAGTCGATGTTAAGCTAGTTCTCAACATGCGCTTTCGCTTAGATCGTGTGCCATTTGCATTTGTATTGTATTTTCCCAAATATATCAAAAGGTACAAGAATGCGTATGTGTTTTCCATGTAGCCAGTCGCCGGATATTTACTTATCAGCATCTGCGCAGGTGGGAGATCGCCAAACGCTTCGGCACGAGTGGCAACAGAAAAACTTCGCCAAGAAGCGGCAGCATTACAGAAAGTGAGAATGCACTCCATGTTGTTCCTGCTGTGCTCTTCCACTGTGTGCTACGTGTTAATGTGTGTACTCATGGGAAACGGTCTTTATCAGAGTAAACGTATCAACTTGGCACTTTCTCTTCCACACGGTTCTGGTCTTCGACATTCTCAGTACCAACTTAATTGTCACAGTTGACAGGGCAACGGAGGAGGGTCTGCCCCTCGCATTTTCAAAGCAAAGTACCCAACGGAAGGGCCACTTTCACAGCTTTCAACATCATGGCCATTTTATGGTTGGTGGGGCATTTGGTTTCCATCTACACCTTTAAATCTGTGTTGAGTCTGTCTTTCTTTTCGTCTCGGAAGCCATGCTTCACTTGTCATATGTATAGTCAAACACTTGTGGCACCTGAATCGAGTATTCGTAGCATAGAGTCAACAGCTATAGCCCAAAATACAAAAAAGAAGTGCTGCACAAAACTTTCACGTGAGCACACAGCACCGGTGTGCTGCCGTAGTGTGATAAAATTTGGAGTACGTCACACCAGGGTCAAAAGTCATGTCCTGCATTTACTTTAGAGACCTCCTAGAACAATTATTTGTCTATGTAGTCTAGCTTGCTATTTGCCTGCAAGGGTTCCTTTAAGCTGCTCTAATAACTATGATTATGGCTGTGCTTAGACGTGATTGGGTTGCACTTAGTAGTACGCTTATAGAATAAAAATAACATCAAAAAGTAGATGTACATGGTGCAAAAAAATTGCACTACATGCCACTGCATTTTGTTGCTTCATTGCATTTTTGTTTTGTCAGCGTTACACCAAGTGCAATAGAACACATTCGTGGACATCCACAAACTAGTTCTGTTCATTGCTTCGTTAAGTCTTGCATGCTTAAAACAAATTGTTAATAGGCGAGCGTTGTGTGTTTAACTAGCATGCGGCATCACTAAGGACAGCGGTGCAATTTTCAGAGGGTGGCGCAGTTCCGTTCGGAGAACCAGGGACTCAAGTCGAAGGTGAAGCGACTCGAGGAGGACTGTGCACGCAAGTCCAGGCAACTGGACAAACTTGCGCAGACAGCCAAGGTAAGGCTATAACACAGGATCCTGTCAGCATGCAGTGAGTAACTTGCTTAGTTAGGTGCACTGCTTATTCTTAATCTGGTGCCTTGAGTGTGTGAGACAAACATTGTCAATAAGATATCAGGTTTACTAGTAAAATGCCCATGAATAATTCGGCACGTCTTTATCGCCGTTCTCGTGCTGTTTGTTTGCATAAACGGCTTCTCAGTCCAGTTTTTTCTTCTAGGAATATTTAGTGGCAGTGTGCTTCTTCCTATGATATTATTATTATTATTTATTTATCTACACCTACTGCTGCTGTTGGTTAGAGACACTGCAGGAGTGGTTACATAAAATAAGATAAAAAAATGCAGTGCCGACAATGTGGTCAGTCTGTGCTGTGTGGGGTAGCACAGTTATCGCTCAAATGCAATCCAAGCACTGTGTCTACTAAATGCCAGGAAAATTTTCAAGAAAGTAGGGAAGCTGAAAGGTGTTGATGATTTTTCTGCTGTTGGTTTTGAGGCTCAATAGTTCACACCTGTAAAGTTAATCTTGGCTTAAGAAAAGCACTGTAAATTCGCAGCTATTGTTCTCCTGTGTTGTAGCGCATCTACCGCATCTGCAGAATTTAAAAAATTCATGGAGTTCTTTTACTTAAGTTTAGATTTTCTGCTGCCATATAACACTTGCATTGAAAAGCCAGTGTTGCAATTTAAGTTTGAAGGAAACTCACGAAAGCCCACATTGTGAACAGTGTTTGAGGTAAGTTGCATTAATCTAATAGACTTATTCCTCAAAAGTTTTTTTGGCTGGTCAACAGTAATGTGTAAAAGCTCTCCATTCCTATGCTTCTATCTCAGAATGAAGCTCTGTATAGCTAATGAGAAATTTTATTACTAAGCACCCGAGTACATTGAAAAATTGTTTCATCAACCTAAGCAGGAAACGTTGAACATTCTAAGTACGCATACTGTGCTTCCCTGAAGGGAATCGTGATAGGCACATTACCAGCGAATTCTCTAATTACAGTGTTGAGTGACATTCGGCTTCTTTATGACCCGAAAATGCGGGATGTGAAGAAAAGATGCGACATACTTAGGACCTACGCTCTTCCGAGAATGCAATAACTGAAATTCAGGCATCGCGCCGAGTGCAGAGAACCTTGTATGTGATGCCGGACTCTTATCAAAAAAACCTTTTGTCTCTTCACAATGCAAGGACAAGGCGGCAGCTGCTCAGGAACAAAAGAAAGGAGATGTGAGTGCCCTTCTTATCATTATTATCTGGCTCTCTTTTCATTAGTCTCGCGTTATCTCTCCCGAAGTGTGTGCCACCAGAGACGTATAAAATTCCAGAGCTCCCGATCGGCTTTGTTACACTAGTGCGTCTGCTACGTTTGCTACATTCATGAATCACGGGTATTTTAACTTCTTGATAACTTCTTTAAGAATCGAACGAGATAAGCGAGCAGACAGAAGCTGATACAGGTGTTCGTAGGAGAGATCGGCCCTTGCTTGCTGTTTGTCCTCCAATGATAAACGAATGCAACAGTATCTTCCTGGTGCCCAGTTCTTTGTTGAACTGGGCCGGTATTTTGTAGCCTTGTGGCATGTCTCATTCTGTGCTGTTCTTATCATCCACCACTCATGGCCGACCGATCCCGTTGATAACTGTGACGGATCGTTGCTGTGACCGCTGGCCAAGCATGAAAAGCATACAAAAGTATTACCATTGGAAATGGCGTTGTTGTAAAATACTAACCATAACCAGTTGCAGAGGAATTAATGTTTAATTAGTCTAATATACTGGCCCTAAACAGTTGCGAAGGTAATGTCTGATTAATATATTTGACTAGGCAAGCAAACATGCTGAAGTATGTGTATTGTTAACAATTCACAGCTCTTATTCATGTTGAGAGCAACAGCCGCTGCATTCTTTCTTTTATTTTTATCTCTCACAGCTGTCTTGCTCAGGTTTTAGTAAAACAAAAAAGTGCAACATCTCCCCAAAATTTTTTTCTCTTTTTCATTTGTACAGGACGGCTTGAAGCAAAAGTGTGCCAGGCTTGAAATGCAGCTCAAAGAAAAAGAAGACAAACTGAAGTAGGTTCTAGAAAATCACACCTATATTCGTGTTTTCTGCAAACTCTAAACTGGCAGTCATCATTCTATCTTGGGATACCGCCTCTCCAGCGATAATGATCACTTTTTATTGCCACTGTTGCTACGTGTAATGGTAGGACGATAACGTTCACAAACTACATCCAAACGTCATTATAATAAAATTGCATCTTACAAAAAATAAGTTGGTGGTATCTGAAAATTTGTTATATATGTACATTCCTTACACTGTATCTATCGCAAGACTATTTTTTTTTTTTTTTCATTGTTATAACTGATATTTCATTATACCCAGGTTCGTTTTATGAAGGTGTGAGTGTACTACTTTCAAACTAGCTTGTAGGCTTGTGCAAATATTTGAATGCTTCGAATATTCGAACAGATAGTAGAGTATCGAATTGGTTTCGATTCGAATTTAAAGTATCGAATATTTCGAAGTATTCAACATGAACGAATAAATGTATACTAGACTGCATGTAACTGCCTGTAAAGGTGGTTTCAGTGCGTTATAGTGGTGCTAAGCTGTGAAAGAAAGCACTTATTCAAAAAAAGTTTGCTTTGTTGCGAACCCCACTTCAAATTTAAAGGAGCCCTGCAACACTTTTTGAGCATAGTCAGCAAATGCTGCCGATCGGTAGACGAGGCTACCGAGAACACGCGAGCTAAATATTATAGTGCAGCACGTGACCTGGAATTCACAATAAATTCTCAAAGTCAGATAAATGTTGCTCTCCTCTCTCAGCAAATGACGGCACAATGTCAAAAATCACTTGTCACAGTCATTGTACCAGCGATTGGCTGATTGGAGCATGCGGCACTTTGTCGTTACTGGGGCCGGTCACGCTATGACCCCGCGTACATGCGCAATCGCACTGAAGAGCCGCGTATTCAAAGAAAAAAGAAAGAAAGAGTGCTCATGGTCACGATACTCACGTGACATATTTTCTTTCCCTATGCCATTTCTCCTGGCTTTACTTCAAGCACTTTCGTCGGGACGAGAAGAGAGAATGCAATTGCAGCATGCAGCAAATCTTTGCGACTTCGCTTATACTGGACAGATTCTAAAAATTTTTGCGGCCGTTAATCCACAGGGCACTAAGCTTATTTAGTAAATCCGTCTCTTGAAAAACTGTTGCAGGGTCCCTTTAAATGAGCATATTATCCTCAAATCGATTGATCATATTTTAAGCTTAAAAGCTTGTTTTGCCGACTTATACACTCTAGCTGTAATGGATAATGTTACGTATTTTATAGGTTATCAATTACATCCTGGTACTTTTGAAAGTTGTTTCGACTTCCTTTGAATGGAAAAAAATAAACAAGAAAGCTCTTGCGCAGAGGCCTTGTTAAAAAAAATATTTTGCAGGTTAGTAAATCATGATAAATATGCCCATTTTTTTTTATACGTCATACATTCCATTCGATTTGAAATTATTAGAGCAAAATCACTTTTTGCTTCGAGCCTGAAATTCACTATTCGCACAAGCCTACTCGCTGGTAATCATTTCGTGCATTGCCAGATTTGCACTGGTTTCACGGCGATGCGAAGGTTACATTTAGGTGCGGCTTCTTTACATTGCTATGCTTATTGCTGTGAAGCGGCATCTAAGGACAGTCTCAGTAGGGTTTGACTTTGCACTGTGGACCTTAACGCCCACGAAGGAAATTGGATGCAGATAGTGCGAGTGAGAATGCGATAGCATTGTACTTTGTTGTTTTTGTGACTTTTAGTGTCTGCATTTGTTATCAGACTACAAGCTTCTACTATGCTTATTTGAATAGTGATTAAGCGTGTTGATGACTCATCATGCTCGGTTTTTCGAAGAAGCGAAACCTAATGGCTGAGCCTTATTTCCACTGTTTCGTTGACGTCTGAAATGACAGAAAACTTCAGGCCATCCAGAGACGTTCGTCGGAGACGGCCACGCCTGAGAAACTGCACCCTGCCAGATCTCGGCTGACAAGCAGTCAGCCGCGAGGTTAGTGTTGAGAATTGTGAACCATGCGCCACTCCTCTATGCTTGCCAGCGAAAATTCTGCAGCTAAAGCCTTTTGAGTTGTACAGAAGGTTGCAATGTGGTCCTACATTACTACCTTCTCGGATGACAACTGGGCCGTCATTTTTTAATGAGGGAAAATGACATGTCAAGTAATATAAAAAAAATTTCTGCTTGGTTGATAGCGTACAGACAGATAAAATGAAATCTTGGCTACGAAGCCATATTAATCTAGTATTGTTAACGCGTGTGACCTCGTTCGCTTTTGCAGTTGCTGACGTTCAAGCTCATGACGCATCTGCCCTAAAGTGGCCCGCCAGCAATGAGTGACCTAAAGTGTTTCTTGACTGCTTCTCCCTTACTACATCCTTATTTTCAAGCAGTTATTATTTCTAGTGCTTGGTTTTTGTATATGATGAGTATCATGTACATCTCGCAATGCTGCCGCAACGTTGCCTCTTCACCTGTTGAATGTTTGCATCAGCATTTGAGACACTCAAACCTCATTATAACAAAGTCACATCTGTCACGAAGATACTTCGTTATATCCGGAAATTCGTTATAAACCTATATTCGTAACACTGTAATTATGACAAAGCTATTCTTCACTTACTTTGTTAAAATCAGTAGTTCGTTATATCCGTATTTATGTTATCGAGGATTCAGTGTAACGTAACTCACTGTCTGAACAACGTGATGCAGAACTCAGCGTTTCGGGTTCAGTCACAGCTGTGGCTTATTTGGCAAAAACCCTTGTTCAGATTTGTACAAATCCTTGCTGAAAATGTCCAGCGCACCTCGTTCTCATATTTTAGTAATGGAACGTAAAACCAGTCAGCCCAGTTTTGAAATCTGCGTTTGTTTTCCCTTTTGCAGGGTCGAGTGCCGAGCTCGTGAAACTTCGCGAGCAGATGGATCGTATCAGTCAAGAGAATCGCCGACTCACTTTCCAGCTAAAGGAAAAAGAGTGAGGGGATGGTTTTCAAATAACACAATGCTCGCATGTTGGTACAACACGGAGTCGCTCGTGGCTTTTTTTTTTATCTTTCCACTCAAAACTCGATATAACGAAATATTGGTTGTAATGCAGTAAATGAAGATTCTTGCAATAGATAGTTTCGGGAGTGTATGTTGATAACTAATTTCTGGATATAACAAATTATTTTCGTGCAAGATGTAGTTTCGTTATAATGAGGTTTGGGTGTATGCTCAGAGGATTAGGACAGTGTAAGATGCTCAAATGCCTCTAAACAACTTATTGTAATATGGCAGGTACTGTGCATACATAAGTACAGTTGCACCCAATTTCAGCATAGTCACATTCAGAGTGAAAATATGTATTCCCTATTCTTTATTAATTCAGCATTTCAATAATTAAGCACTAAGTTCATTTAATGCTTTTTTGCTTCATTGTTTCCTGGCTCTATAGAGGTCTGGTAATTATTGCACAATTTTTGACGGTGCGTATTTTCTCGCACATAACCCACACCCTGGACGAGGAATCGTAGAGAATATTCCAAAAAGGATCCCCACGTATTGCAGAGAAGCGAGCTTCTTGACATGGTTGTGAAGCACTTTCGCGAAACCACCCTTGAAAACTCGAACGGTCGGGTTTTTTTTTTTTGATCGACTGTAGATCACATTAATTTTTTTGTGAATTACACACTTGAGACTATGATATATCGTGCAGAAGTGGAAGCATGTACAGTAAAAGCTTGTTAATTCGAACTCCGAGGGGACTATACAATTGTTCGAATTAAGCAAAGTTTAAATTAGTGGGCGGGCGCTAGAGTGAATGGGAATCGTGACACACTGTGTGGACAGAGCGCAGAAGAGTCATCTATTGACTCATTATCACGAATTCGGCCTACTAAATGTTTGTGGCAGGTGATTTTGTAGATTAGGTATGTGGGGCTCCAACAAGCAAACATGAATCGGTCAGTGGTACACCAGAAACAAGCACCGAACATGCACTAATGTGAGCATTGAGCGTTAATTGTGAAGTATATGTTGCTATTTATGCCTCATAGCACACTTTTATTTACAGAGCCGAGAGAAAGTAAGCATAATTAAAAGCACCGAGTAATTTGCCTTTGCTTGAGTTTTATCTGTTGCGACTCTGTGAACATCGTTTGCCGCTTGCCCAAGAGCTCTAGCGCAGCATGAGAGTTGTTACGTGCTAACGAGTGCTGCTGTTTCGCTGTTTTTGCATCTATAGTAAATTTGGTTTGGTTTTGCTACACATTGTAATAACCCGGGGCCAGCTTCTGCAAGGAGCTGTTAAAATTGCCCCCCCCCCCTCGGTTCGAATGAGATGTTGGGGATGGCGATGCATTTGCATTGTCGGGAGTTTCTACCTATAAAAATACACGGGGCTGTGCCGGGATCAGGTCGCTGGTTTAGATAAACTGTAAATTCACATTAATCGAGTTCTATCGTCCTTCTATACAAGTATTTCTGGGAGTGATTGATTTGTAGTGTGATCGTGGCATTTATAAACAACCTTGTAACGAAATCGGAATTAATGTGAAAATGGTTTCATTATATTCGAGACTTTGTTGTAAAGGAATATTGGCAACACTCTATTAATGGTGAGAGTATTTTCCATTGGCTTCTTTATAACCGGTATAATCTGTATATTGAGGTTTCACTCTATGTATCGGCTCTCGTCTTTCAGACAAGAAATTCGCCGGCTGAAATCTCAGCTGCAGCCAGCGGCACCGGCGAAAACGCCCGTGAAGACACCGACGAGAACACCGACAAAGACGCCACCAAAAACACCACCAGTGCCGAGCCGTGGCAGTGGCCAGAAGCCAGCCAGCTCGAAGCGAGCCGGGTCGGCTGCCACCGAGCCGCGCAAGAACGTCGCCACGGCCAAGCGCTCAAACACCTTCAGCGTCACCCGAGGTCCCCCGCAGCCGGACGACAAAACAGAGACATCGGAAATCACGGTTGAGTCGAGATCTACGCCCGCGAACTACGTAAGTGGCAGCCATTTTGGGCAAATCATTTCTCAAATTGAATCAATTCTGTTAAATTGAACAAGTTGGCAGAAAGGAGAGAGGTAAAAAAATTGACAATTACCCATTAGTAGCACAAATCCATGAAGAAATTCATGCGGATTTTTCAGCAAGAAACCTTCTTATACTCGGCAACAACTTTTTTTTTACAGCACTGGGTAAGTTATAGAACTGAATTACATGCCTTCTACCATGCCAAAAGATAGTATGTGCTTAATTTAAATGTAATTTCTTAATCTTTCCTTGCTGGAATAACTGCTGATTTATTTATCACAAGACTCAAACACTTCTGGAAAGTCAAAGACTAGATACAGTCACTGTTTGCTTTGCAAGAGCGCCTTCCTTTTCTTTTCAGTTCTTTGACAACACCGCCTTTTCAGCACGCCGGTTTTCCAAAGCAAACATGGTGTTCATGATGTAGTGGGTCAATGTGTGGTCGCAAACGCGCCATTTAGTTCTGCAATATATATATATATTACTCATAATATGGCACTAAAAGGTACACTGAACCATTGAAATGCTTCATTCACGTTTTCGCCTATATAAATTTCTGAATTCCTCTATGATGCGAGTGAGCGAAACTGTAATCAGCCGTGAACTGCTGTACTACCTTCAAAGCAACACGAGTGTGCAGAAGCTCCGCCTCCATAGGCTTGGCTCCGATGTCGACATAAGTTGTGGCCTAGTATAGCAGCTGAAAAATTCATCGTGGTTCAAGAATTGAACCCAGCACCGAGGCCTGTTTGGGGCAGTCGCTCTCCCACTTGAGAAAATCAGGAAGATAGTAATTGGCAGCGTGAGGACAAATTGATCGACAACTCAAAGCGCATGGACGCAGAATACAACAAACTGGTTCTTCTGGAGGCCGAATGCAAAATTTTGCTACAGGTTTCACTTGCACGAGCCGAAATTCGTATGGATTTCCTGGTGGTTTTGTGCTACAAAATGGTGTGGTGATAAATTACCGTTTCTTGTGTGACATTCTGTAACAATTGGCTGCGAGGGAACTTGCAAATGACGCGACAGAGTTGCATCGGCTGCAGTGTATATTCTTGCCGACCTAATTAGCAGTGCTGTTGCTGAACCCACTGGGGAGGGGGGGGGATCATAGGCCATGCGTTAAGTACAAGATTGCGTATTAACGTCTTTTCTTCTATCTCCCTAAATTGTCCACAGCTCTGCTTTGTGCTACATATCTTATTCCTGCTACATATCTTACTTTCACTGTCGTTGAAACTGTCCATAAAAAAAAGAGATAGTGACAATTTTTAATCTCTGTTGTCTATTCGTTTAACAGGCACGCAATTGAGCTGTGGCCTGTAAAAAAGTAGATGAAAAATATGCTTCTCATCTTCGGGTAACGGTCAACAGTATTTTTAAAACATGTTTCTTACATCTTCAGTCTCAATGGCTGTTTAATATTTCTTACACCATTCGCACTGTAATTTCTAGTATAAATCGACACCCTTGCGATCCTATTCTACCTGCCTGACTTGTGGCCACAGCCACATAGTGGGCAGGTGCCAATCATTCTTGGAGAATTATCGTCATTGTTTTCATTTAGTATGTGCCATTTCGTAGGCAAGAAGTAGAAGAAAGTGGTGGTCTGGAGTGCATGAACACAGCTGCAATGTCGCAGAAGGTAACTTGCAACATAACGCCATCTTTCTTACTTGTCATCTTATGCCTTGCGTGAGCCAGTGCATAGCATACATCACATCGAGGGCTCCGTATAATTTTCTATTCGTGTGATAGACGGTGCAGCTCTTCATGTCACGGGTATGCTTGCTGTGCATGTTCAATACATTGTAGTTTATTATGGCCACGATTCTTTGCTTGTGTTGGTCACTGTTAGTACCTTGAAGCTCGATACAAAATTTGCATGTTAACAACTTCAGTCTCATGTTTTTACTGTGTTAAACCTGTCCTATTCCTTGCACCCATAACACATGCTTCTAGCAAGTTGTCACCGAGCGTAATTTTTGGGAACACATGTCTAGTATGGGATGCATGGATATTAAAAAAACAACAAAGAAACATGGCATTCAGAGAATCTGGAAAAGAAGTTTGGACGGGCCAGAAGGCATTCTTGCAATTCTAAATTCTACAGCATTCAACAGCCTAATTCTACAGCCTTGCTCCTTCCAAACTACAATTGTAATTTGGCTATTGTCATTTAGCCTATGTGACATGTGGACTTTTGTGATAGCGTGTACCGCAACAGTTACACAGTGGTACAACCCTGTGCATGTGGGTAACCGAGCTAGAAAAAAAAAAGCTACATATGAATATATTGATATAGCTAACCAAACGTTTCACTGTCTCTAATTTCATGCCCATAGAACATCATATATTCTTCACCTCGATATAGTGAAGCGTGTTAATTCATTATTTCAATACAACGATGTTTCCCTGCTACCGCAGAGAGAAACCGAGGTGACAAACTGGGATTTATGCGGGTGCTGTGGTCATACGTGGCTGAGTTGCGCGCAATGTTCCAAATTCCATGCCGCACTACGAAGAGGATGCGGCGAACACAACAATACTGGGTGTCTCTGGGCAAGACCGAACGAGGTGGCACAACAAACAAGAGGCATTGGAATTGTATTTTAGCCCTGTGTGTAACGTATGGTCACTGTGAAGAAAACTTCGCCAGAACGGCATCAAGTCATGCTTGCCAGATGTCGAAGTCAACAGAAAACTCACTTTTTGTTATTTTGAAGTTAGGTGTTTGGTAGCACCATATTACTCGAACAGTCTTCCTGTGCTTGCAGTGCTAGAAAGAAATGATGATTTGATGATATGTGGGGTTTAGCGTCCCAAAACCACAGAGAGGTGGCGTAGTGGAGGGCTCCAGAAGTTTCTACCACCTGAAGTTCTTTATCGTGCACCCTGATCTGAGCACGCGGGCCTACAGCATTTCCGCCTCCATTTAAATGCAGCCGGAATTCGATCCCTCGACCTGCGGATCAGCAGCCAAATACCTTAGCCACTAGACCACCGCGGCGAGGCTGCTAGAAAGAAACATTTGGTGACTACACTTAGAATGAAAAGGTGAATTTCAATTAAACCAGGTTAACGAACTATATTGCTGTAACGAACTATAACGAACTATATTGCTGATTTTACTGACATGCTATACTGAGGTTTCACTTTGCATATAACAGATCTACTGCCCCTTCCCCGCTACTGTGCTTATCAAAGCTCAGCTACTGCTTTGCGACATCAAACAGTAGCTAAACTAAGTTATACAGTATAACAAAAGGCAATGTGTGTGTCAGCACTTGTCTGCAGTGCCAATTTGCTGAACCTTTTCAGAAGCTGCAGCAGTCGTCGGCAAGCAGCAACAGCAAGGAAACGTCGGCACCAGCAGCAGCAGTAGGGAGTTCCAAACCGACTGCCACGGTTAAACCAGCCGGATCTAATCCGCTGCCGGATGCAAAGGCCGAAGCGATCCGGCGCCAGCACGCCGCAAGGAAGATTCAGCGGGTGTGGCGGCAGCACAGACGGGTGTGTGGTGGCACTTTGCAAACTTTACTCATAGGAGCAACAGTACTGCAATTAGCCCTTTGCAACACTGCATGTAGCTTAGCACGCACAAGTTACTTTTGCCATTTTTATGCATTATTGACAATAAAGAGACAATAGGCTCTGAGCTAACGGTAAACTATATTGTTACCTAAAATTTTAGATACTCTCTGTGCAATAGTTTTCTACAGTTCGTCACACAGGTGACGGCAGTGCCATATTTAGCTAAGTGCTTGGCAGGAATTTCAAAATATCCTGACTTTTTCTGAGAACGCTTGCCATGAGCCGATAACGATCAGATTCAATTTGAATGAATAACTGAATTTTTTTTCGAAGAAATAAGGCACGACTAACAGTTCATTAATCAAATAACTGATGGCATAATTGCAATGATCGCTGCAGTAGTTTAGTAAAAACATTTCCACTCGCTCTGTAACCGTGGCATCAAATTGTAAATGTTTGATGCTTTTATGAATGCTGAATCATAACCAGTGCTGCGAAGGGTTAGAACTACGAGCAAGAGCATTGAACAAGTGTTTCTAGTTCCTTGAAATGATTCTTAACAAATGAAAACATCATTCCATCTACAAAGTTATGGTATAGTTTTAAAAATCTTGATCATGTTATACGCATTACTAGGCAAGTGTTAGGTTCGGCCACAACACTTTGCAGAGTGCCATTACATATCAAAAATTTTGGTCCATCTAATATGAAACATGTGTTTCGTGATATTCACAGGCAACACATCAAGATATACAGCTTAGTTGGTTAGATCTTTTTGTTGAAATTTATTACACCCGTTTGTAAAATGTCAGCGATAGATCTCCTGTGGCAAGCATAAGCATTCCGAAGGACACCTAGATAACAACCCATATCAACCTTGAATTGCTTTGAACTGTCCTTTCATTGCCATTCATGCTGGTGCCCTTCTTTGTGGCTTGTCTATTTATTAAGCTAATATGGTCAAACATGGCTCTACCGAATCATTGTTTATATTGAACAGTTATAACTTCCTTTTAGAAATACCCTGCCACAGTACAGCATTACACCATATCTTCGTATAAAAATATTCGCTGCCACCACTGATTGCACTAGTTGTATGTAACAGCACTATGATCACTTCTTGTATTGCTGAAAATATATTTAACTGACAAAACGATGCTGTGAAAGAAGGCAATGAATTCAAAGGGAATGGCTCGTCGTGGAGGAAAAAATGAGGTAGGCATGTTTCAAGCAATATAAAAGGCCCTCTCAGCAAATTTCTTAATCGTGCCGTGATGGCGAATTCGCTTCATTATCAGTGACGCAGAATTGGTGTATTTATTGAGAGCAGAGTGAACTTCCTGGGGCCCCCATCTTTTATGTCAAACTACGAGTGATACGATTTATATTGTTTCATGTGCCAGAAGCGTATCTAGTTGAACTCCACTATTTCTAACGCGCATGCATCTGGCAGCAATTTCTGTCTGTTATATGACATGTCTCTCATAAGCAGAGTGCCACGTATTCATTGCCTTATCAACACCTATATCAATGTAGGTGCACTGATATTTCATATACCCGTTTGCCTCTTACATATGTGTCTCTTATGTTCAGTTGTATAATATGATTATGATGCATGCTGTAGTGGAGGGCCTCGGCTTATTGTGGTCACCCGGGTTTTGCAAAGTGCACTAAAATCACAGTACACGGCCCTCTAGTGTTCTGGCTTCATCGAAATGTAACCGCCGCGGCTAAGATAGTACCGTGTCTTTTCTGGGTCAGCAGCCGATCACCGTGAGGACTGCATACCCGCGGCGGCAGTTGTCGAATGACCAATCTAACCACTTTCGTGCGGGGCATATCTGTGTAGAACTGCATGTTCTTTGTAAACAAACATTATGTTCAGGGAGCTTTTTTTAAGAATCGGTTCCAAATTCTTTTCTACCCAGCGAGCGAGTGCAGCATCTCTGACAGCCTCGAAGTCCTCCAAGCTCTCGGAGAACTCCAACCTATCGCAAGACTCCCAGATGTCATCGAAGGCAAAGCCAATGGAGCACAACTAAAAGGCCTCGAGCTTTAAAACAGCCAACCAGGAAAGAAGCGGATACAGTTTTTTTTTCTTTCGTTATTCCTTCCTGTAGTTTCGTACAGTAGAGCATATGAGTTCTGTTCCATCGTGTCAATGAAGGTCACAACTTTGATGTAGTAAACTTTGCTGCAACTGTTTTTCCAAGTGCATTTGTCTCGTGTACACAGGTGTGTGTGCGCGCGCGAAGTGTTATCGGCAGCACGTTATTTTGAAATGCGGACAGACATTTCTTGATCTCTACTGTGTTGGAACTTGAGGTAACTGTATTGAGGAACTGTTGGCGATGATTCCTTAATGTATTTTGTTTCGTCATGTGCTCCAGTAACTTACTCGTCAGCGAGACTTGTGGGATAAGCACGAGTCCCGCCCTTATGACAACACATTCCACATTGCCGTGAAGCTGTGACGAGCTAGAATGAGTTAGAAAAACACTGTGCATTGCCGTGAAGTTTCTTCAACGCTTCAAGAACAGCAATGACAGTGCTGAGGATGGTATATGTGCTTGAGCAAATCGTGAGAAACGTTTGGTCGAGTTTTGCTTCTGTGAACAGTGATACCGGTAATTACGATGCCGTACCGAATTGTTGTGGCATGGGTTTGAAAATTTGCTGATTCCTTTTGTAAGAACAGTGATGAATGTAAAATTATCACACAGTATGTGCGAAAAGTGTGGCATTACAAAAAAAAATAGAAGCTGTGTTCGAAATGACAACACTATTATGTGCCCTATGTTCATTGCTTGAGAGTTATACTGTTAAATGCCAATGCAGCTTGTACAAAAAAGCTACCTTGCAACATTTCATCAAAGGGCTGTATTAATCATTTTTCTTTTTCATATTGAGATTTGCTATGTGGTGCTCTGTTGATACTCCTTACGTGGTTATTAATATGACATTGAAGTCACATTTCGTTCAGTGTGCACTCTGTGTGAGCAAAGCAGTTCTAATGCTTTCAATATGAGTAGAAAGGTCACAGAACTGTGAAGGTGATGCAAGCTTGTTTCTTGTTGATGCAATGCACACAACTAGTATCGCTGATGTAAAGTGAAGTTGGGATGTACCATCGTGTATTATTTACATCACAATTCAGAATACTCAATTCTTTGTAGGTGGTATGTAGGGTAGCATAACGTTTCCATAGAAACTTGCATTTAAATGAATTTCATTTCGTTTTTTATGCAAGCATAAATTTATTGCTTGTATGTAATTAAGTTTGTTGAAGTACATGTGCTCATGCATGTTTTGTAGTAAGCAATGCAATACTCACTTGCACCATTGTTCACAATTAAACAAAAGAGCGCAACACGCATTATAGATCTTTTGGGGACTAAGGGCATCTGGCAAACTCTGGACTGCGTCTTCAATGCCAATTCTTCTAAAAGATATCCTCGATGTGATTTTCGCTTCTAAATATGCTAGTGAAAAGAACTCCAACAATACTTAAGAGCAGAATGTTTCCAATGCCAGCGAGTGTGACGTTACAGGCGTCTTTCAGTGTTATTTATGTGCGTAACGCAAGCGACGAGTGCAGTTCCCGACAATCAAATACTGCTTTTGGCAACACATCCACCCCCTTCACTATGTTTGAAGTGGTAAAATGCAACAGGATCACCCTGTTGAACTACAGCATTGGCGTGGCCTTCAAGAGTGCTTCCGTAATATCGATGTTCACCATCAGAAGGTGCCATAACCTTGTGTTTTAATCATTACCTCAAGCTCACAAGGCTGAAGTGAACGCCTGCCTAGTCTGCAGAAGGGTGCGACATTGTGGAATGCTTGCAAATACAAAAACACCGCCCCCCTCAGTAGAATTCTTGAAACTCTGTTGGTGTTCTTAAAAGCCAATTAAAGACAGCTATCAAATGTTCCCTTGCATTATGATTACATTAGTGCCTGGTGTAGTCGCGTGAAGTGGCACGCCGGCAACACTGTCTGGTGCTGTGAACATCCGATACAATCTTATTTCAATACGAGGGCATTACTTGGCTGATTGCCCGGCCTCGCTGTCAGTGGAAAATGGTGGCGGAAAAGCGGCACACAATTTAGTCATCTGTGAAAGACTGCACGTGGTTATACAGAAAATGTTAAAAGGGAATGTTGGTCGGTAGACGATTGAATAGGTGGCCTCCTAGGATGCTACAGGGAAGTGACGGGAGTTCCATTTCATCAAACCACCAGAAACTGTCAAACATGCAAGAAACAGGAAGATTTGGATTAGCTACACGATGTCACTCTACTGTAAAACACCATCCACGAGCTCTGCAACATTTAGCCACATCACTCAGCTCAACGACATGACCAAGCGAGAAGAGATTGTCTCGTATTCACAAATCTTAAAAGGTACCAACACAAAATTTCACGACTGAGATAGCCTGCAGGAACGATTCCCGCGAAGATGCATATATCATCTGCAAAATGTCAATGAATATAACTTCGAAGGTATTTTAAATACATCATTGACGTGCAGCATAGCTTGGAAATTTTGAACTTTGTGTGAGTGATAGACTCCATCACGCTATTGCTGCAGCAAGTTATGATGACGTTATAGCCCCCATTTTTCTTTTTGGTCGCATTTGCTCCAGCAGACTATTACTCGGTAGCTGCTTGCGAGTCCGTGGCCGTGGTGCTAGAGTCGAAGATTTTGGGTTTGATGACATTGCTGTCCCATTTCCTGTTTGAAAAATCTTTTTGATGTGAACCGCGTGGAAGTGCGTCACATTTCTGCGTGCTGACATGGTCGAGCGTTGTGCCTGCTAAGTGGCGATAGTTGCACCTGGTGGCTTGTCGTATTTGAAACAGAAAGTGAAACTGTTCAGTAATAACGAGCCTGCAATTGAAACTTTCGAAACATTGTATATCACTTTTGTTGCCAACATGGAAGAATGCCAGGCATTCCACATACTACTCTTCCAGTACAGATGAGCCTAGCCTGTCCTGGCCAGTTCAATGTTGGCCAAAAGATTTTGATGTGGCGTTGAAATGACAAGTTATGTGTGATTATTTGAATCTAATCGTACAAAAATATCAGTTTTGCAAGTCTACCAAACACCTATGTACTACTGTACCTCATTTTTTTTCACTCAAACAACTGTGTACCGAGTGTCAGCAACAGAACTTCAGTGCCATGTATTCGTCCGTGTAATGACAATAAAGCCTGTTGCACTGTGCTGCTTGCATTTTCGCTATTGAAGCACTAAGGTGTCTAGTGTTAAGTAGAGCAAGAGTTGTGTGCAGTGTCATGACCTATGCCCCCTTTATCTCTTTCATGAACTAGCACACACTCCTAGAATACTCACTACGTCCTAGTAGCTACATGTGCTAAATGGTGATATGAGACGGTCACATTTTAATGGAGATGAACAGCAGTCCTGAATCGCACGATCAAACTACTTCATACAATATCCAATCGATTGATGGAACAATAAATCTCGGAATGCCTTACAGCAGCCGAAGGGACTTGCTGTTGCACGAGAATCCGTTTTTAAAGGTGTTGTGAAATATAAATGAAGCTGGCCCATTGCGATTTTGCCTGCTTCAACAAGTTTTAGACATGCAGATTCAGCAATATTTAGGCATAACATCCGCTCCATCATTAAAGACACCCTTTTGAAATCTCAGTTATGTCGGCTCCTAAACGACCATGTAGCCCTACCGGCTGCCCTAGGCACTAACATGAAACGTCAGTGAAACATCATGGTAACAGAACTAGTAAAAAATGCATCAGTTTTCTTTTGCTCCAAAATGATAATTTATAGGTACCTAGGAAAGAAAAAAAATGGCAATCTTTGTTTTCGGAGCTGCGTATACCGTGAAAGTACAGCAAGTGATCTGCTTGGTTCCACTTTAAAGAACATTCGGGCCCCGACATGCGTTGCCTTCGCTCGCTCGCATTTTGGGTGGCTTAGTCCTCCTCGCTATTCCTACCGTGTGCATCATCAAACAGTTCTGCACAGCTTATCACAGTCGAAACAACATTCCTGATGGCTTTATGGCACCACAGTCGAGACTGTATAATGCTACGAACCTCGCACAAACATCGTTGCGTCACCAGGTTTTGTCAACTACAGAACTTTTCATTGTCAGACAGCAAAATCGACTACAGTTGAGGGGAACATAAGTGGAGAAATGAAATTGTGCTTTCATAGCTACTAAATGAATCCAGACGATGAGGCATACTCTCAAATATCAATATAATGAATTATCAGTGATAACAAAGTAATTCAAGAATAGCTCTGTCATAAATACAGTGCTACAAATATATGCTTATTAACAATTTTCCGATATAACGAAGCATCTTCATGGCCGGTGTGACTGTTATAATATGGTTTGAGTGTAAACTCAAAGCTTGATATAAGAAACACAGATATAATGAAATACTGGCATAGGCCTATCAACTGGAAGAGGTGGGGCAAGGGGCACCAGCCCCCCCTGATAAAAGTTGGGGGGGGGGGGCTGAGCCCCCCCTCACTTTCGACAGTGGTCACTCTTGGCTGCAGGCTGTGGAAACCAACAAGTAAGGCGTAGTTTCCTATCACAACAGTAACCACTCAATTATGTTCTTACAGGAAAATAAAATTGTTACGAAGCTATGTTACAATATATGGAAATTTTTCCAACATTGCCACTGTGATAATTTTCCTTGTAGGTTCTTATTATAGATCCCGGCTAACGAGTGAGGTAGGTTTGCCCCCGCACTCGCGAAAGAGTTAGTACGCCACTGAATACTGGTTATAAGGAAATAAACAAAAATAGTTGTGCAATAAATGTAGTGTTAGCAAGAAATCTTTATCTTTATAACAAATTTATATATAACGAAGCTAATTTCGTGTAACATGCAACTTTGAAATGAGGTTTGAGTGTAGTATGAAATGTTTGATGTGTCACATACACACTCTAGTCAAATACAACTTAAGAAGCCAGGGGAGGCCCCGCCCAGATGACCGAAGCGCAGCAGCCGATCACCTCAGTGACTAAGGAAATACTAGAACTGCTCTTGCTCTAGGCAACGCTCTCTGCCCTCCCATTGGTAAAGCTATTTAATTCATGTGCCAAACATTTAATTCAAGCGCCAACATGTTTAATCCGAGCGCCAACTCAATGACGCCGCGTGCCAGTGAGTTTAATCTAAGTGCCACCGTGTTTAATCCAATTGCCAATGACTTTAATTCAGGTGCCACTCAGTTTAATCCATGCACTAGCAACACATAGTTTGCCACTTTATATAGTATTGCCACGTTCCATTTCCCAAGTTTTCGTTATCGTCCCAAAACACCACACGATCCTCAGCGCGAACCGCGCCTGCAGTTTTCCAGAAGGTTCCGGACTGTAGTAGGTCATTTCGATAAGATCACGCCCACTGTGCGAACGGTACAGATTGTTCTGGAACCTACGCCACCGCCAGCGATAACGCTAGAACATTCGATGGCAAGAGTATAAATGCCGACGCGCTTCGCCGCTTGCCAGTTGTTGTTGATCGAAGGCCGACGCTCCGTTCGCCGCTATCAGTCCGAGACTGCTATCTGTGCAAGACTGCTGCTGTAATTGGACTTTCCGTTTACCGGGCACAGGTTCGCCCAAATAAACAGTTAAATCCCGACACGAAGTCTCCTGTCTTCGGCACGTCACGACCCCGTGACATCTGGTGGAGGTGCTGCTTCGTTCATGTACCGGACACCCCCGTCAAGCCGTGAACCCAGCCCACGTCGCGAAGACACCGACGCCAACCCAGAGCAGCGAACAAGCCGCCGACAGCAAGGTCTCCCACCGGAGTACGGGCTTCTGCAAGACAAGGCGCGGAAAGCCAAGGCCATGACCTCTACTGCAGCGACTATGACAACCGGAGCGTCCCAGCCCGCGATCGTCATTCATCAACCCAGGGAACCACCAACGTTTCATGGGTCATCGTTTGAAGACCCGGAAACCTGGCTAGAAACATACGACCATGTGGCCGCCCTCAACCACTGGGACAACGAAGAAAAGCTCCGTCGTGTGTACTTCTACCTGGAAGACACCGCAAGGACCTGGCTAGAGAATTGGGAGTCCACGCTCCGAACGTGGGATGTCTTCTGCGGCGCATTTCAGCAAACGTTCGCGAGCGTCGCACGCAAAGAGAGGGCCGCTGCTCTACTAGAGACCCGGGTTCAGCTACCAAATGAAAAGGTTGGAATTTTTACAGAGGAGATGACCCGCCTATTTCGTCACGCTGACCCAGACATGCCTGAGGAGAAGAAAGTTCGTTTCCTCATGCGAGGGGTCAAACAGGAGCTCTTCGCGGGACTAATGAGGAATCCACCGAACACCGTCCAAGAATTTGTATCCGAGGCGACCACCATCGAAAAAACCCTGGACATGCGCACCAGACAGTATAATCGTCGCCTGACTCCAGAATGCGCTGCTGCTCAAGCCAGTGACTCCGACAACCTGCGTGAAACGATCCGAGCGATCGTGCGGGAAGAGCTGCGCAAACTGTTGCCTTCGGCGCAACCTCAAGTAGATTCGATCGCCGACATTGTGCGAGAAGAAGTTCGGCAATCGCTTCAAGTTCCCCAAACACCGCTGCCCGAGCCAGAAACTATGAGCTACGCCGCTGCAGTGCGCCACAACGCTCCTCCCCGTCCACGCCGAAACGCCGCCCCGTCACACTTCCGTTGCCAGACACCACCGCCGCCACCACCCCCACCGACGACCTACCGTTCACCAGCGGGCCAGCGCAGTGCGCCGAGGAAAACCGACGTTTGGCGCACCCCTGACCACCGCCCACTGTGCTACCACTGCGGCGAGGCCGGGCACACTTACCGCCGTTGCCAGTACCGACAGATGGGACTGCGTGGCTTCGCCGTCGATGCACCACGTCCGCAGCCTGGGGAACGGCCACGTGACATCGCCGACTACCTGACAGGAACTCAATGGACACACCGAAGTCCTTCCCGTTCGCCGTCGCCCAGCCGCCGCATGTCACCGCACCCCCGGCAGTACTCCGGCCCAACGCGGGGCCGGTCTCCTAGCCCGTATCCGGGAAACTAAGGGCAGCAACCGGTGGAGGTGCGGTTGCTGTGCGACGAACTACCGAAGATCCTCCGACGACGACGCCGCCGCGACGGAGCTTTCCGAACACAACGCCAACCAGGCAAAGCCCTGACGGCGAAAGCTCACTTACCGAAGGTGGCCTGACGACGCAACATGGAAGCAGCGGAACAAGCCGACGCAGCTGTGACCCGACGCCACGCCCTAACTGTAATGCGAAACGGCGAACTAGCGACCTCGACGTTCTTATCGACGGCCACAGTGTGACTGCTCTCGTCGATACTGGAGCTGACTATTCTGTCATCAGTGGGTCGTTCGCCGCGAAGTTAAAGAAAGTGAGGACAGCTTTGAAAGGCCCTGAAATCCGCACAGCTGGAGGTCATCTCGTAACGCCTGCAGGAATCTGCACAGCGAGAGTCGCCATTAACGGCCGTATTTATCCTACAGACTTCGTAGTCCTACAGCGTTGCTCGAGAGATGTCATCCTTGGCATGGACTTCTTATGCCTCCATGGTGCTGTCATCAACCTAAAAACAAAGTCGATAACGTTATCCACAGAAGAAGCACTACCGCCGCGCACGCCGTCAGGACACCATGCCTTAAATGTGCTAGAAGAACAAGTCACCATTCCGCCTCGCTCAAGCGTCATTATTTCAGTCGGCGCTCCTAAATCACCTGACTTGGAAGGCGCCATTGAAGGCAGTCAGCATCTGCTGGTCACCCGAAATATTTGCGTCGCAAGAGGAATTGCAGAGCTGCGGGGAGGCAAAGCAATGGTTATGCTCACAAATTTCAGCAATGAGTACAAACATGTGAACAAAGGAACAACGGTCGCATACATTGAAGAAATTGTCGAAGCCACCAGTGCTTTCGCCCTCGCCGATTCAGCGGAACCTGCTCAGAGGAACCAAGCCCCTCCCATAGCTTTCGACGTCAATCCCAGACTTCCGAACGATAAGCAAGAACAGCTCAAGGCCCTGCTCCTGCAATACGAAGATTGCTTTTCGTCGTCATCGAAAATTCGGCAGACCCCAATCACGAAACATCGCATCATAACCGAAGAAAATGCCAGACCACTCCGTCAGAGTCCGTACAGGGTTTCGACGCGAGAACGTGAGGCCATGAAGAGACAAGTTGATGAAATGCT